AGCACAGTTGCAATTAGTCGTCTTTTTGGTATCCTTAAAATCAATTTACCAAAATTACTAAATTATGTGGTTTGATTTGCAGTTATCCTGCCTCGTCCTGCTTGTGCAGAGTAACCCAGCTTGATTTTTTTCTTTGAAATTTCTGTACCATTTGCCACTGTCTCCAAATTTTCGAACGTTTTGGTTGAATGCATGGAAAGCCCCCAATAACTTTTGCAATATTGTATTTTCATAGTTATGCAAATAAAGTTTGTTGTGCTGTTATGGTTGTGAGTTGCAGTCATCCATTTCTGATTCTACCGATTCGCATCCTGAAGCGCTTTTAAACTGTGCCACTTTCTTCCTCAGTGACTGTGGTCTACGAAGTCACTAAATGCAACTGTCCTTGTCAGATTCTCACTTACCACCTGAGTAGCTGCAATACGTAAGTACTCAGAATTAAGCAGTTCTTGTTCAAAAAAAAACTAGTCTTTAGCAATTAATAGATGCCAGACAGAAAAGTCCACTATTTAAGAGCAGTTGTCTGTAAGATTGGAACTAAATTGAAAAGTCGCTGCCACACTATCTCACCGAATTGGCTAAAAATTGGCATGTAGACTTGATTAGGGTTCTTTAATAACGAATAGGTAGCTTTAGGTTCTAATTACTCCTGTTTCGGAAATTATCGACATGGCCAGTTTTGGGGTGCCTCGGACCGGCGCCATATTGGTTAATAGAAGCTGTTTTTGAGCCTTCGACTACAGCCCTGTCTTCAAAGCTAATCTTCCTTTGCCGATACTCATTGAAAGAACTATCCCTCTTTATTGTATTGTGAGAAACTACTTCAAAATTGATAACGTTTTCGCAGCGATCGATTATACTTTGGTGGGTATAATTTTTGAATTTTTTACACCCGCAAAATTAACAGAAATTCAAAGGCGTATATCAGTCTCTTGTCGCCACAAGGCATTGAAGCTTGCCACTCTGCCTGAATACTCATTCAGAGTTTGTAGTTAAATCGAATTCGTTAAGAACACAATTGTGCAAATTTAACGGAGCAGAAACAAAAGTAATGAATGGAAGAGTGTTCTAGCGACTTTGTCAATGAGCTTCACAATCACAAATTTTCTGGCCGTGAATCTGAATTATAATCGACTTCTTGCATTATACAGACTTCATGATCATATACAGACTTGTTTGATCTTCAAAATTTAAAGCCGAAAGAAATACTCAAATTCCTAAACAGGAATTGCACAGCTAAGCGATTACCGAAACTTTTTAATTCAGTTAAACCCATTTGTTTTATTCCACTACTATAGCTTGTTTGACTTAATCTGAATTGCCATTTACTTGAGGCGGATACTATATGCTTCCTCAAAGCCTGTTTCTGGTTTCTGCTGGTTACGGTGGTCGCTTTTCTCGCGACTTTCGTAGCTCGCTTTCGCTCGCTCAGTCAAGCGTCTCTCGAGCCTGATCGGCGTTCTCTCCGTCGACTTGAGGCAAGGCGAAGTCTACGAATACTACTTAATATAGTTTTGATCTTGCTTTAACAGTTCTTCTGCTTCGATCGTGTTGTTTTCTAGACTTCCTGGATCTTCGACGAGTAATTTTCCACAAAAAAAAATTACATTTTGTGGTCAGTCAGTTACCTCTTCGTTTCACGTACCACGATTGACATGTCGTTCACAGTTTACAGTATTTGTATTTATTTATTTAAAATGTATTTACAATCATAAGTCACGGCAATTATAAAAAAGTCGATCACGTTTAATGGGAAACCCCTTACGGTCCCTCGTTTCTCACGATAGTACATTTAGGGCGTATTTGCATGGAGATGGGTGACCCTAGGTAAGTGATCGAGGTAACCCCTCTTTGGTGGGGTTCCCCGCCTGTCCATATAATCTCTCATTTTGATTTTATCACGTTTACATCATAGGTGGGGTGACCATATGAGAAGGACAGGCGGGTTAATTCACCTACCTGGGGTACCCCACCTCCATATGCATGTAAACAGGCCCTTAAAGGCAGCCACTCAAAGAAAAGCCTTCACTTCCTGCTGTCTTCCGTCGCTTAAAGGAGCAGTGTCACGAAATTCAGCTAAATTAGGTAATTACAAAATGCCCGTTAAATTGTTAAATTAAGAGAAACATAAAAATAACCACTTAAAACATTAAAGGAAGGTTAAAATAACACAACTGATACAACAGATGCCACGGATGGGCAAAACGGGTTTTTGAAAACTGTTCAGCCCAACAGTTTTTCAAAGTTAATCTCTGCTGTTTGCAACTTCAAAAATAATGCTCAGGAGACATAATTGTTTGTCTCGAGTCCCTGCTTGTGTCATTTACAAGCAATTTCTTTGTTTACTTTAAATTCCATAGCGATTGAGGGCGAGAAACTGGCAAAATTAAACAAAATGAACTGGACTTCCAGGTCACAGCCCCTTTAAAACCGCCTGTGCTTAAGTTCCCAAGTGGCTTTTCAAACTCTGCAAACTCCTCACAAAACAGCGCTCCACAGTTAAAGAACAAAATAAGCAAAATGCGAAACCCAGAAAATAAAGCGCCCTAGCCTTAGCCCTCACGTCACCTATCAGGTTCTATTTTCGGCAATATACGCGTGTGTGTTAAATCTTATCCTTCAACGAGGGCCAAATCCAAGCAAATACATAGTGGGAAATTTTAGTGACTTGCGCACGGCTGAGCACTGGGTGACGAAATCACTTGATCAAAACGTAATTAGAAGAAATGGTAATAACAAAATGCGAAACTTTGAGGAAATTTCTCGTAGACAATTAATCTAGAGGTTGTAAGCCAGGGAATATATAATGATGAATACTACTCTCGTGTACTTAATTTTTTTGGGGGCGGTGGGATGGGGAAGAGGGTTGGCGCATATTAACTTTTTCTGCCTTTAGGATGGGCGCTTATTCGAATAAATACGGTAGGCTGTTTCCCATTTACGTGGCAAAATTCTTGACAGGTAAAGTTAGTCCCGGAATCGCGTTTACCATTTGTACCAAGAAAACGACCGCGGAGGCCTGAAACTGGTATCAAAGAGTGCTTTGAAAAACTGGAACCCTAATTTCCGTTTGGAATATTCCTTCCGGCAAAATAGGATTACCTTTTCAGATGTTCCGTTGCTCCCAGAAATTTTCTGCTGGAACGACCCAAAAAGTCGTGTTCCATTTAATTTCCAAGTGGATTTTCGGAAAACTTTTTGTAACTGGCAAACAACTTATGGCCCATAAAGTCATTCCTCGAAATAAACCGCATGCATATCATGTGACTATTATATTGAGCCCCGTGCAAACGCGACATTGTTGGCCAGCACACAACTCCCATATGGTTGGATGGTACATGTTGCGTCTGCTGTTGCATGTTGTTGAGTGTTGTTGGGAGTCGTTGTGCAAAGTTTGAAACAGGTCAAGCCACAGGCAGCCCAGACATTACGGTGTGTGTCAAAACGGCAACACATTATAGATCTATCGGAGCTGTAGTCCATGATATTCGATTGAAGAGGATTTTAAAAAAATGAATAATTTCAAATAAATTTATCTTTACAATTATGTTTTTGTCTACTTATTTGTCCTGGGTTAATCCAATTTATATGTGCTATCCACTAAATATAGCACCTCAGAGTGAAAAACTCGCTAAAATGCCGATTAAACCGGCCAGGACTAACAAGGAGACGTTTAGTTAAAGGTATGTAAGGTTTGCTTTGTAATATTTTGACTTCTCCGCTATTTTAGCTCGATATATTACTATTTTTGTATGTAGCGGCTCGTATAAGAGTGCCGGGAGGCAGCGCGTCAGACTCACAATCCGACGTTCCGGGTTCAAGTCCCGCTCTGGCCATTTGCTGGATTTGTTCTCTGTCGTCCCGAGTTCAAATCCTCGGCCACGCTTGTAAATAGCCAGTTGGGGTTTTAAATCCTGTTATGTTGTATTTGAATTAGTTGTTTTCTAAGTATTTACTGATTGTAAAGCGCTTTGGATCACTAAGAGAAACTAAGAGAAAGGCGCTATATTATTATTATTACTATTACTATTACTATTACTATTACTAGTAGTAGTAGTAGTAGTAGTAGTAGTAGTAGTAGTAGTAGTAGTAGTAGTAGTAGTAGTAGTATGCGATGAGAAACAGAGGAAATTCCAGAATTAAGTTAACCAGGACAAATAAGTAGAGAAAGACTTAGTTGTAACGTTAAGGATACATTTATTTCATTCAGTTTTTAAACTCCTCTTCAATCGAAAATTGTCAACTACAGCTCCTATCAATCGTCTATTGGTGATCAATAGCGTTTAACTACGGGCAAACGGCCGTAACAACAACAACAACAAAAAGATCCGAGGGAGATGGGTCTAAAAGGAGGCAATTGCCGAGGGGGTGGGGGTGGCTTCTTGACGTCTTCTTTCTGGGGGCTCAGAGTAACATTAGTGAGTTGTTAAAAACTAACACCTGCTCAGTTGAGCACCCTTCTTGTCGATTTCACTGCTAACGGTCTTTTAAAATAAGGCTTTTATTTACTAAAGAAGTCCTTCACCAGGCGTATTAGACACTGTATTAGCATAAATAAAGGGATTGTTTCTCTCTTTATCGCAGAAACAATTATCTCTCGCCTTATATTACCGTGCAACGGCATTTTTGACGGAAATTTTCTTTCTAGGGGGTGCCTAACCAAGTTGGGAAATTAACTAAAGGAAATTCCAGGGGGTGAAAAAGGTCTGACAAGTACCCCCTGGAATTGAAATTCCAGCGGAGTGGGGTCTAAAGCAAAAGTACCCTCCGTGGGAGTGGGCGAAGTATAGATGTTTTCTGGAACTACACAATTTCCTGATTTGCAAAGAAACCTACTTGTCGTATAAATATTTTTATGGACTGGTCGGTTTCGAAATCTTATAAAACACTCGAGGAGATCTAGAATTAATAACCAAGCCCTTACCTCTTGTTTTGTTTGTTCTTAGGACAGGCATTTAACAATCTGAGGGACCTGTTAAAAGAAGAAACGTGAAACGAAGATGAAAGGTGGTCACAAGCTGCGTGCTCTCATTTGTGGCTTTCTTTGTGTGTTAGCGATTAGTACTTATCATCTTTTGGAAGAATTCCAACGCATCTTGATCGAAATGCCCAGTCTTATTAATATATACACAAACCGGACTGCGATAGTGAATCATGACGTGCTGACCCTTGAAAACAAATCAAAGGTGGTGGTTTTGGTCTACACCAAGTTTGGTAAAAATGAAAAGTGGATACAGAGACCAGGTTCGTGTTATAACAAGAACAACGCCAACTCTAAAGAATGCCCCTTGCTACAAAAATTTGAGATCACTTACAACAAAACGAGGTTTACGGAGAGCAACTTTGTAATGTTCGAAGCCAGAGACATGCCGAGTTTACCCCACCTCAAAATGTTGTTAAAAGGAAGACCCATCTCACAACGTTGGGTGTTTGCGTTATGGGAAAGTCCTAATCATTTTAATTACACGAAGCCATTTCACGGTTTATTTAACCTAACATGGACTTATAGAAGGGATTCAGATATTTGGGGACCATATGGTAGCTACATACAACTCAACACCGAAGATCCGATCTACAAAAACAAAAAGAGACCACTCAAAGATTTTACGCAAGGAAAATCAATGCTTGTGGCTTGGATGGTTTCCAACTGCAGGGCTAAGTTAAGGCTCAAATTTGTCCGCGAGCTAAAAAAGTTCATCCAAGTTGATGTGTTCGGAGGATGTTCTGATAGAATCTTTGGTGAGTGGCGATTATGTCCAAAAACAAAACAAAGCAACTCCTATTGCCTGAAGAAGTATAAGTTCTACCTTTCTTTTGAGAATGCCTTATGCGAGGATTACATCACCGAAAAGTACTGGGATAATCTTGGTGAGGCGAATGTGATTCCTGTTGTAATGGGTGGTGCTGACTATACCAAGCTAGCCATACCTGGTTCATATATCAATGTTTTGGACTTCAAATCTGTGAAGCAACTGGCAGAATATCTTCATTATCTGAACGGAAACGATACGGCTTATAATGAATATTTTATATGGAGGCACAAATACCAAGTACTTCCCCGCAGTGCAAGGTCATTATGCAACATCTGTGAGTGGTTTGTTTCGAAACATTCGCACGAAATGAAAGTTTATAATGATCTTACAGAATACTGGGTGGAAAAAGGGAGATGTGGAGCAAAAAATTATCTTATTTTGAGAATGATAAACACGTCAAGTTAAACTCACTAGCGATTCCATCTAGTCTGGATACATTAGTATATTGTGACTGTAATTAAAGTTGGACAACAGAGATAGCGTTATTTGGCATAATTTATTCAAATTATTTCGCTGTTTCTGATTGGCTCTGATCCCAAGGCTAATTCTTTAATTACCACCTGGCGCTACTTTTGTAGAGTATCTGCAAGAAAAAAAAAAAAGAAAAAGAAAAAGAAAAAAAACCGTTTGTTTATATCCTGTAAACCAAGGTGCTGAGAAGCAGCTTTAAGTTTTGAAGAAATTCTACTCGGAGATAGGCTTTTTAAGACCTTAGAAAAATTTTGCCTTAATTCCTGTGCGGCGTTTTCACAGTCCCTCTCGGTCAATTCACTTCGGTGACGCACGCATCCTTCGCTTGGACCACCTAACCTGAAACGCTTTGGCCGCGTGGAATAATGAGGCCGCTAGGGACTAGGCAAAGTAATATTTTGAATGAATCGATAAAACAATGGAATTTGTCTTTTGTTATATGATGTGAATAATAATGCTGATCTCGGAGGCTGTTATCCACCACAGCCGATTAAACACCCTCCTCGATCTGCATAATTCTTCACATCATACTCAGCCTCATTTTATAATTTTTTCATTAAATACTAAAACGGAGATAGTACTCGCGTTCTGATTTGTTAAAAATCTACTGGTATGTATTTTTTATAACGGTTAACACATGGAAAATGGCATTCAATCCGCATAAACTGGCTCTTGAGTTTCCGTGGGTAGTAAGGCTGCGTGCAAACGGATGCAACAACTCCCAACATTGTTGCGCCAACAATGTTGGGAGTTGTTGCGTGCGTGTTGGCAGTGGTGTGCAAAGGGATGCAAAAACTCCCAGCATTGTTGGGACCTGCATGTACATCTTGGGAAGGAGACAACCCAGAAGTCTTTGTAAACCATGCGTAATGAGCGTGCGTGGCCCCAACAATGTTGGAAGAGCTGTGCAAACGGATCCAACATTGTTGCGCTTCGCTTCGGCGATCACGGAGCAAAAGAAATGTTGGGAGTTGTTGGCTGAAAAGTTTGACCGGTTCCAAACTTTGCGCAACAACATCCAACAACATGCAACAGGATGTGCAAACGGACGCAACTTGTAACATTCAACATTGTTGGGAGTTGTTGACCAACAATGTTGCGTTCGTTTTCGCGGGGCTTAAAGAACTATTTTTGAAAAGCTCAAAAATGGAATAATTAATTAATTGATTAATTTACTTACTCAACCCCTGTCTCTTAGTTTAAAAGCGTTAGTTTCCTCATTAGACCGCAAGCGGTCGTCCCGTTTTGGGGTACCACTGGAAATACACAGATATCAAGGGACTAACTTCGAGTCTAAAGTTATGCCAGAAGTGTGTAAGCTCTTGGACATTGAGAAAACGAGAACGACTCCGCTACATCCACAGTCGGACGGCCAGGTAGAACGTTACAATCGAACATTGATAGAAATGCTTCGAGGCAAGTTGAAAGAGAGTCAAGGCGATTGGGACAAGCAACTTCCCACGTTCATGATGGCGTACAGTCTTTCCTCAGAGCCACTCTACGCGAGCGAAAATGTAAAATGATGCGATGTGATTCAAAAGAAAAAAAAAAGAGACTGCTCGAAGTCTATTTCCTCATCATCTAGTATTCGCTGTTGGGTAACATTTGACCACTCTAGAAAATACCATAACATACCATAATACTCTTTGTTGGTCACTCCAAAATTTTGCATAAGCATTGTTTGTGGTTTCTCTTGGGGCTATTTTCTCCCAAGAGAAACTAAAAACAATATGCTCACGCAAAATTTTGGAGTGACTAATAAAGAGTATTATGGTATGTTATGGTATTGTCTGGAGTGATCAATTGTTAAAAAGTTAATTACAAAGCTTGAAAGTAGTCTTCACAGCGGTTACTTTTAGCACGCGCCCTCCAAAGGCTTTTTTCTTTCCGTTGCCGGACCAGAGGTTTTCGGGGAGTGGGCCATCAATGAACTGTTTCCATAGTTTTTACACGAGCTGTGAAAGAGATGGTTCTCTGATCTCAGGTTAGGCGGACCTACAATGTAAGAAGAATGATTTCGAATGACGAATGCCTAGGTGATTCTAATATCATTGAGATCGAGAAAGACAATATTACAGTGCGACTAGTGTAACCGCGGCCACTTAGTTAATTAAGAATCTAGTGTTGCGTTCTATTCAATTAACGTATTGCACATCCACTTTTGTTGGGAAATGTATAAAAGGAAGTAATGACGATATAGCAGATTTTTGGAGCACTGGTCTTTATTCAACAAAAGGCGAGGTCAGATTTAAGCTTATGCAACTTTATATTCTATACTCTTTATTTCAAGGTTTACTTTGAGTGCCGATAATATCTGGTTCTGACTTAATAGCTGCAACTTCATTTAAAATGTGCATAGAGAAATACAAAGACTTGGTCAAGGTAACTCGATTATGACCGATTGATCCGCTATAGAACGTCTGCGTGGGAGTCTACGCTATGTGTGCTTTTGGGAGAATTTTGTAATTGTGCGCTGGGTTGGAATTTAGTTAAGAGAAATTTCAGGACAGTCCACATTTCAGTGACATTTTTACATCACTGTATTCTTTAAATACCCCTTAAAATACGTACAGTTTAATAGACAAGGTAGGTTAGAACTATTTTGAATCATACAAAGAATTCTCGAGGATTTTGTCAGTTTTAAACTACTTTTTGAAATTGATATTAAAATTATTCTCGAGAATTCTTGGGATGATACCCAAGAAGGTGAAAACAATTCATACAGACCGGGTTTCGCTCTTGAAAATTCTCGGGAAACAATATCCGAGAATTTTTATGTCTGCTTTGTCAAGATTCACAAGAAATCCTGAGAATTCCTTAGATTAATCCTGTTCCCTAGAATTCTTGGAAATCATTTCGCACGAGAGCAGTTTTAAGTCTTGCTCTCTGGTAATTATGTTTCTCTAAAAATTTAATAAAAGAACGGATTTTGTCCGTGATATTTATACAATAACCGGTAGCCTTACAGGTGTTTCTAACAAGTGTTGGATACTGGCACATGAAGAACTACCATCCAAACTGATTGTTGAGCTGTTACAACGCTTCAGTAGTTGAAAGACCTTGAAGGATTTATCAGCACCCAAATGAAAAAAGGAGTTTTCTAGACAACTTTACCTCCAGTAAGGGTGCAGTCCCTGATACAGTGTCGTGTTCCCGACCCTCATCCCCCTTCCCCCCCTCCTACTCCTCTCCTTGATAATTCCACCACCATAAACCTCTCACGAGCTGGTATACGTAGTGCATACCTAGAGTTTGAAGGGGGAATTTTATGGTATTAAATTGATTTGACAGTAAGGTAGTACAGACACTGTTTTAAGCCAATTGCATACAATTGTCGCAATTTGTTACTGACGATATCACATGATTACCTTGTTATAGGAACTGTTAACGTTTCGTGAAATTAACGCGAGATTCAAATATTCTTGTTAATTAAGTCGCTTTCAGTTTTGTTAGCGTTTATTGATTTCCACACAAGTAATTAAGGGAGGCTTTAATTTCCACCACAAAAATATCCATATTACCGATAACCTCAAGACATTCATTCTTGACAGCGGAAAAGAGCAGTTTTCTTCTATGCGCGTAAATTTAAGTGGCATTAGTCTCAAACACCATTATTAACCCACAAGGACGTTAATATCCTAGAATACGTTATAACCTATTTAGGAAAAAAAAACAGCGATATGATTTTCTGTGGAGTTTGTCTTTGCTCTGAAAAGATCTAGAACTTCGGGCGGGTAACATTTGTCTTTTATGGGGCATGACATGACATTACATGGCTCTATAATATGCCAGCGAAAATCTCAAATCAGCCTTTTTTGTAATTTTAACCCCTCCCCCCCCCAAAAAAATTGTCAATTTACTGATTTGCCAAAGAAACGGACTTGTCATATTGTTTTTACTTTAGACTGGTTGATAATGAAATTGCAAAAAAATTAGGGGAAAATTAATAACCAATTCCTCACCCCTTGTTTACTTTGTTCTAGCTCATGTGTATTTAACGAGTTCAGTCACCTGCTAAATGAGAAACGTAAAACGCTATGAAGATCAAACGTGCTCACTCGCTAAGGTATCTCCTTTGGGGTTTTCTTTGTGTATTCACTATTAGCCTTTATCTTCACTTGGATGAAGCGAAGTGGCTTGAAAAACAACAGATCAAGATAAAAATGTCCAGTCTAACTGATAATCACACAAACCGGACCGCGATAGAGAAGAACGTGCCAACGCTACAAAATAAATCAAAGGTGGTGGTTTTGGTCTACACCAGGTTTGGTAAAAAAGAAAAGTGGATAAAGGATTCAGGTTCTTGTTATAACATGAACCACACAGAGTCTAAAAACTGCCTCTTCTTGCACAAATTTGACATCACCTATGACAAACAGCGTTTTGCGGAGAGCGACCTTGTTGTGTTTCATGCGAGAGACATGCCGACTTTACGTCACCTCAAAGCGTTGTTGAAAGAACGACCCATGCCACAACGTTGGGTGTTTTCGTTATGGGAAAGTCCTAATCATTTCTCCTATACAAAGCCATTTCACGGTTTATTCAACCTAACATGGACTTACAGAAGAGATTCAGATATTTGGGGACCATATGGTAGCTACATTCAACTCAGCAGCGAAGATCCGATAGCTGGACGCCAGAAGAGACCACCGTCAGATTTTACGCGAGGAAAGTCAAACATTGTGGCCTGGATAGTTTCTAACTGCAAAGCTAAGTTAAGGCTTAAGTTTGTCCGCGAGCTAAAAAAGTTCATCAAGGTTGATGTGTTCGGTAAATGCTCCGGGAGAGTCTTCGGTGAGTCGCGAGCATGTCCAAAAACAAAACAAAGCAAATTCGATTGCCTGAAGAAGTATAAATTCTACCTTTCCTTTGAGAATTCCTTATGCGAGGATTACATCACCGAAAAGTACTGGGATAATCTTGGTGAGACGAATGTGATCCCTGTTGTAATGGGAGGTGCTGACTATACCAAGCTAGCCATACCTGGTTCATATATCAATGTTTTGGACTTCAAATCTGTGGAGCAACTCGCGGGATACCTCCATTATTTGAACAGAAACGATACAGCTTATAACGAATACTTCAAATGGAGGCAAAAATACCAAGTATTAACCGCGGGCATTGGAATGACATTATGCAACATCTGTCAATGGTTTGCTTCGAAATTTTCTCGTGAAACGAAAGTTTATCATGACCTCACCGAATACTGGGTACAAAAGGGAAGATGTGGAACAAAAAATCATCTTGTTTTGAGTATGATTAACAAATAAAGTAAAAATCCTGTAGCGATTTCATCTAGTCTGGGGAATACATTCTTCTTATTGGACAGTTTCAAGTGTGTAAAATCGTAGGATGCAGGTTATATTTAGTAAAAGAGACGAGTAAAAATATCCCACGACACTCCTCAGTAGACAATCCATTTAGGGACCTTTTATTCAACTCGAGGGTATAAAATAGAACTAACTAAAAGTGCGTACTTTTACATGTAACGAGAATGCGTGAAAGGCTAACGCGACTCCTTTTGCTGTAATTCCAATTTTTTGCTCGCTTATGCAACGCTGTTGATGATTGGTTATAAATTTATATTTGCAATTATTCCTGAGAATTTTGGGGATGATCTGCAAGAAGGTGAGTGAAATTCTTGTAGAGACTTTCTTAAAAATTCTCAGTAGTTACAGCGAGGAATTTCCTATAGTCCCAAGCTTTGTCAAGAATTCTGAAAGATTTACCCTGTTCCCAAGGACTCAAGTACTCCTGGGAATCATTTCGCACGAGAGTAGTTTTAGTACCTAGTATCTTTCTTTATAAAGTTAATTAGAGAACGGTTTTCTTATTTCATATTTATGTAATGACCGGTAGTCTTACAGGTGTTTCTATCAGGTTTTGGATACTGGTAAGTGTAGAACTACTGTGGACGTTGAGTTGTGATGACCGGTGCTTGGACTCAGTGATGACTGAAACGGATGCATCAGCACCCATTCGGAAAAATATAATTCACCACTTTATTTTTGTTTTCTTTCTTTCTTTTTTTCTATCACTCCTCCTGCCCTAAGGATCAGTTCACTGTTTTAATTTTCAAATTTGGTACTCAAGATTTTACTGATAAAGGTCTTCTAAATATCCGGCTGATCCTCACTGGTTTGTCCTTGTGGTTTTGCCTTCAAAATTGTTTCTGAGACAGTCAAGTTAGCCTTTCTCGTAGCTTGCGATTAAAACAGCCGTCACTACCCGCTCCTTGAGCTCGCTCCTCCTAGGAACTTTTCTAGAGGTGAGGGCCCAGGAGAGAAAGCTGTTTTCGCAGGCTTTCTTTCTCGCGGTGCCCATTGTCAGCTGCACTGAGTTATACATTCGCATCCTGTTATTCATTTAAGAACCTGTTTTTTGGGCTGAAATTTGATAGTTAGGCCTCCTCTGTACAAGAAACTGCTCTTTAGCCTAAAATTTGAAACAGGCTCATCTTTTCTAAATTCTATTTAAAAAGTTCTGTAAACTTAAGAAGATAATGTTGACTTAAGATAAGTCAGCATTCAGGATCCTCTTTGTAGACATGCGTGCCGTATTCACTCCAACTCCAGCTGTAATTGTATGAAGATTTTACTTTCAGAAATGAACTGAATACCCCCAAATACTCTTTAAAAATAGCTAGAAAGTATTTTTTTCCTTCTTCAGAAAGTAACAACCTTTTTAAGAACCTAAATTTGTGCTCATTATCATTTATGTAAGAACCTGCTTAGGCAAATGGGAAAATGCAGATTGTTAGTCGCCGGTTTTTACTGTACTTCAAGAATAGCAATAATAAAACGAATCTCATTTTGAACTGCGACTTGAGACCTGGCAATTGTCTTTTGAATGCCTGCGGATATCTTAACTTTGTCGTTAAAGTAATTTCAGCCAATGCAAAGAAAAATTGTCATATTCTAGTTTGCCAAAGAAAACAACTTGTCATATCTGATATTTCTATAGGGTTTGGTTGATCAGAAAGGCTTGTCAGGAAAATATTTAATTAAGGAAAGTAATTAAACAGACGTTCATTTCTTCTTCAGTTTATTATTAATCGAACATGTATTTAACACGCTCAGTTAACTGTAAAGCCTTGGGAATCGTTAGTCCGCAAACTTAGCCAAAAATTGTGGAGTGAATATTTGCTCGTATACCTGCTTGCTGATAGCTTTGTCCGATGTTAAAAATGCAGTCAACGCAAGACGATTCAAGCAATGTTACTTTAATCTTGAAACACGGCAAGGAGATCAGAGCAAGCCGTAACCGGCTGTTAGGAGCGAGTGATTTCTTTTTTACAATCCTAAACTGCGACATGCAAGAGAAGCACCAGGGGATCATTCGGTTAGAGCACATATCAGAGAATGCCATGAGAAATGTCTTAGAATTTGGGCGCTCTGGTAGTGTTGATATAGAGAGTGCAAAGAATGCTAAAGACCTCATCAAGGCAGCGGATTATTTGCTCCTTCCAAGATTAAAAGCCATTGCTGGGAGTTTCTTTATAACGAAAGTACTGCTATCGAACTGCATTTCAACGTATTATTTCGCAGAGAAATACAAATGCGATGACCTGATGGTTGCCTGTAAAAAATTCATCTTCACAAACTTCCCTTCTGTGGCTCAGGGTCAAGAATTTCTTAGTTTGGAAAGTCACCAAGTGGAGGAGTGGATTTGCAGTGATGAGATTTCTGTTTGTAGAGAAGACGATGTTTTTAGGATCATACTGGAATGGATTAAACATAACAAGACTAACCGCCAAAGGAAGTTTGCAAAGTTGTTTCACCACCTGCGTTTGGCTTTTGTTTCGCGTGACTTTTTGAGCAAGGGTGTGGCAGCCAACGATCTTGTGAAAGAAAATTCAAACTGTTTGAAGCTTGTGACAGATTCGTTGAAAGGGATTTATCATGCAAATGACGTCCATTTACAGAGAGCCAGAAAATGGAAAGAAACGCATCTGGTCGTTTTTACCGGCATACATACTTTGTGTTACCAACCTAATGATGACGAGTGGTACAAATTATCAGACGCACCAGTAAAATACTATCTCTGGGGACACCCAGAAGCATTTAATCGTGACCCGTATCAAATGTGCGTATTTCAAGGAAACCTGTACGTTTTTCCAAGTGCGATATGCAGTGCACCAAGCGCAATGTACGATCCATCGTTAAACCGCTGGACTGTGTTGAGTCAACATGGGACAGCACTAGCCGCTCGGAAGAAAGGTTCCGTCACCCAAATGATTGACTCGAGGACAATCATGACGGACGTGAAGGTGATTGGCTCAAAGATTTACGCTTTAGTTGAGTCTGCAAGTGAATCATTCCGAGATCAACTCCGCCGACCTTTTAGAACATTCCCCCATTCGCGATTTTGTTCCATCTTGAAGTACGACATTGGTAAAAGCACATGGAATGTTGTCGTACCTAAAGTTGAACAAATAAAAGGTGGACCTTGCGCTGTAGCCATGAACAATTACTTTTACGTCATCGGTGGTTATCACGGTGACAAGACATTTGCTTGTTATGCTGGAAGACTGGACACTAACGACAACGTGTGGGAGCGGGTAGCGGATATGAAAACTCCAAGGTCGTATGCTTCTGGTATGGCTGCGCACGGGAAAATTTTTGTTGCCGGTGGCTTCGTAAATAACAAAACTACTGAAATGTACAACCCGTTAACAAACGAATGGAAATTGATAGCGAGTCTAAATACACCTCGCAGAGGGGGCAGTATGCTGTGTTTAGATGAGATGCTGTACGTGGTGGGTGGAGAACGAATCAGTGAATATTCTTCACTTCATTCGACAGCAGCAGTAACGGTTGAATGCTATGACTTTAATAGCAATAAATGGAAGCAGAAGATGAAACTGCCGAAGTTTCGCGAGGTTTTTGAGAGAAGGAACATTGTCATCAAGGCTTGTTCGGTCGCTTTTTCCAAAGAGGTATTCAATAAAGGCAACTCCAGCCGGCGCCAACTTGTGTTTTTTAAAATCATCAGTTACTCACTTGTGGTGTTTTTCTTTAGTCTAATATTTCTCTTGTACTTATGGATAACAGTTTGATTAGCGAGACATGTAAATATACTCTTTAGATGCCTTTTACACGAAAATATAAGCCTGAACGCAAAATGGTAAATTTACGCAACTGACCTTATTCGTGTGTTAGAAGCTAGAGTTCATTAATATAAAATTTAAGCTATTTAACAAATAGATAAGAATTTTCAATCGTCCATACTGTTGTTAGTCTGCTACACAGCAGATTTTAGTGTCGTCACGCAACGCTCCTCCTAGTCTGCTACACAGCCGTTTTTAGTGTCGTCACGCAACGCTCTCCCTCTCCCTCTGTGGGGAGGAGCGTTGCGTGACGACACTAAAAACGGCTGTGTAGCAGACTATACTGTTGTTGACTATGGAAATAACGTTAAAAAGTTCAAAACTCAAGTGGAGCCACTCGCCTGCTGCTGACCGTGGTTTCATTGCAAAACTTTTAGCATATTGCTTAACTTATAAAGCAGTACACTCTTCTTTATATAAGAATGTTGTTTTTTCCGGCCTCCGGCTGAATATTTTTATTTTTCTGCCGATTTTAGGTTGAAAATATTCTTGTATTACTCTTAATCATAAATTATATATAGTTTGTGGTATTTCTACTTAAGAATGTTTTGGGATTTCAACTACCTGTGGTCTTGTCGTTCAGTGAAAGGTATAATTTTCTACGGCTAAGTTAAAAGCATAAATTGTATTGTATTTACATATTTTCAAACACAAAATTGAGGTCTTTTCAATGGTAATGTGATGTCTGTCTCTATGTTTCTTTTCCTTCTTTTTCTGTTGAGATTTTTATTTCTTTTTTACATGGAGACGCCATATTGGTGTACCGTTTTGGTGCACCAATATGGCCGCCGAAAATCAACAAAAACACCTGGAATTCACTTTTTCTACAAAAGCTCTTTCTTTTCACTCGAGAACTAGCATACGTGCGCATAAAAATATCTTCTAATACTTGAAATGGTTATACTTCTGAAAATCAAGAGGAGAGACTTCCACGAAACAGCATTCCTATTTTGGTGTCGAGCACTGTGAAAACTCGGAAGTTCAAATTGCTGTATTTTCGAAATGAGACATGCTACGAGAATGGAAACTTTTGCAAAGATTCACTTTTTTTTATCTTCAACCTGGTGTAAATAAGAATTCGTAAAACCTCGCTATTTTGACTTAACAATTTGATGACGTCATTGTGAAAACCATCTATAGAAAAATGGAAGTTTAAAAGCTGAGAAGTGCGTATAGAAGAACATCAAGTGTGTTGCGGCCATCAAGCTTCCATTGCTGCTTGCCTAGTCCCTGTAGGGCACTTTCCCAGGCCTTCTCGGTCAGTTCACTTCGGTGACGTATCCGAGACGAACGGGCGAAAAACGCCTCAAATCTTCGCTTGGACCACGTGACCTGAAACGCTTTGGCCGCGGTATAATAAGGCCTAGGGACTAGGTAACATTGCTACATTTTCTGCTTAGTGTGAACCAAAATTCTCCCTGCCGCAGTTGCTAAGAGGCGTCCAGCCTAAACTAAAATAAACAGAAAAAATGGCTGCCCTCGGATGTTATTATTACTTTTTCTCCTCAAAATTTACTTATAAGTTCATGAATGCAGAAGTCTCTTAATGCACTATATACTCTTCCATTGTTAATTTCCTCTTTGATGTACAATATGGTTTAGTCTTTTAAGACTTTTAATTTATACAACTTTTGACGTTCGATCCGCTCTAAAGATTCTTGTGTATATGAGATGTTGCTAAGGTAATTCAATCAATTGTATTGATAGCCCGGTATATATTGCGGCTGTAAAAAGTATCGTAAGATGCGGTTCATCTCTTTAGCCTTTCCCTTATCCCTTAAATGTGATGCAACTCGGTATTATATTTCCTTTACTGATTTATACTCTCTGTAACTTAGGTCATTACTTGGAGCATAGGTAAGAATTAGCATGCTGCGTAACACCAAGTTGCAACCATAACTACATCGGTTTACCAGACTGAAACTGAATTAAAATATCAAAAGACAAAGAAAAAGAAAAAACGTACACACACAAACTTTTATTGCGAAACTTCATAAGATTTTGGTTACTCTGACGACTCGGTCACCTCACAACACCCTTTTCGGAAGATTAATGGTCGATCATGTCGTCGGTCACGTACGACTGATTTCGCCGGCAACTTGGTCACGACTGGATGGTTGTATTCATTTGACTTCTATATTGGACTAAAATGCGCAAGCTAAGATGTCTAAGACGAAAGATCGTCGCTCGTTGAGTTCTCTCTGTTGCCTTGCTTTTGGTTTTCTTTGTGTATTAACGATAAGCTTTTATCTTCGCATTGATGATGAAGGACGTTCACTTAAGCCACACTGGATGATAAAATTGCTCAGTTCGGTTAATATTCTCACAAACCGGACGATACCGAAGAACTTGCTGCCACTACCAAGAAACAAATCTAAGGCGGTGGTTTTGGTCTACACCAAGTTTTCTAACGTTCAAAAGTGGATAAATGAGCGAGGTTCTTGTTATGACATGAACCACCCAAAACCCAAGGAATGCCCCTTACTAGACAAGTTTGAACTCACTTACGACAAGGAGCGGTTTACGGAGAGCGACTTTGTTGTGTTTGAAGCAAGAGAAATGCCGGCTTTAGAACATGTGAAAATGTTGTTAAGTGAAAGGCCCAAGTCACAGCGTTGGGTTTTTGCGTTATGGGAAAGTCCTAATCATTTTTCAAACACAAAGCCACTTCACGGCCTATTTAACCTAACATGGACTTATAGAAGTGATTCGGATATTTGGTCACCATATGGAAGCTACATACGACTCAGCACTGAGGTTCCGATGAGCGGAAACAAAAAGGGAACAACATCAGATTTTACGCGAGGAAAATCAAAGCTTGTGGCCTGGATGGTTTCTAACTGCGGAGCTAAGTTAAGGCGCAAATTTGTTCGCGAGCTAAAAAAGTTCATCAAAGTTGATGTTTTCGGAAAATGCTCCGGGAAATTCTTCGGTGAGTCGCGACCATGTCCAAAAACAAAACAGGGCAATATTGAATGCCTAAAAAAGTATAAGTTCTACCTTTCCTTTGAGAATGCCTTATGCGAGGATTACATCACCGAAAAGTATTGGGCGAATCTTGGTGACGCGGATGTGATTCCTGTTGTAATGGGAGGTGCTGACTATACCAAGCTAGCCATACCTGGTTCATATATCAATGTCATGGACTTTAAAATGGTGAAGCAACTCGCAGAATATCTTCAGTATCTAGATAAAAACGATACGGCCTACAACGAATATTTTAAATGGAGAAAAAAATACAAAGTGATTTCCGGTATTGGAAGATCATTGTGTAACATCTGCCAGTGGTTTGTTTCGAATGTTTCGCATGGCACGAAAGTATATAATGATCTTACCGAATATTGGGTGAAAAGGGGGAAATGTGCTACAAAAAATCATCTTGTTTTGAGTATGATAAACAAGTAAAGAGGGAATTTTTAGCGTTTTATATATCGGGTTATAAATATAGATAGCTGGATATTGTAAAAGGTTTCTGCCGAGTGATAGCAGCCAAAAATATGATAAAACTAAGAGCTCAGTAACCAAAACCTTTTTCTCGCCCCTTACTTTCGCTTTCCTCACTCCATTTTTCCTCTTCTTTTCCTATCGTAGTGTGATTTTCTGCTTATGGGAAGCATCTTGTCTTTTTTGGCCTCTTTCAATCATTTTTCTTTTTCTCATTTTTTCTTAGGGGAGGGGGGAATGGGGGCAGGGGGGTGGTGGGGGCTACAGCTGTACTCTTAATTTTGAGAGGCATGAATAAATTATATGAAAATGTTATTGTCATATCCGAGGAAAATAAGACATTTCGGTCACTTAACGCGACCGAAGTTTGAACTTTTAACGACGTTGGAACATTTTAACGACGATGACCGACCAGACAAGCGAGGAAAGTGACAAAATGAATGGTACAAACTCGTTACTTATAGCTGGGAAGGGCTCAAGCCAAAGCTTCTTTTAACACTATTCTTAGGTAAAACTGCAGTGGTTTAGTTATTTGTGAATTTTCGGATGATTTTTCGGATGTTTTTAATGTATAAAATTTAGAAAGGGATATGTTTACAATTTTGGGAAAATGCAAAAAATATTGGATTTGGGGGTTAGATATGAAGTGAATAATTAGTTGACAATTACCAGATAGTCCACCACCACAACAAGGTGCCTCTGATCCCATCAGCGGACTAACTGGTTTATATGTATGCCTTTTCTAACCTAATTTATTTCCTTCCCAAATCAACATCATTTCCCCCAAAAAAACAATCGTAATGCCCCCTTAATGCTGACAAGAGGGGGCCTTGATCGGGGACAAAACGTCACAAAATCGTCACAGAAAGTGGCAATGGGATAAACCCGAGTCCTGGCTGAATACACAGGACACAGCTGCCAAAACAAGACTTAAAATATGGTTCAATACATAAATGCCCATATGCGTAAGGAAATTCACCCAGTCTAACAAATGCGGCCAGGGGGGGACGGGGTATACAGTGCTGTTTAATGAACAACGTCGATATATGAAAATTCATAATTAGCTCCATGCCTTAGGGGAATGAAAGAAGAGAAATCCGCTTGAGGTCCAGCAAAGAATACCGTAATACATTTTCTTTTGTTTTAATCCCCCAAGCCTCGTCACCAAGTATGAATTTTAATATAACGAAATTAGTCGGTATCAATCAGATGTCGTTCAGAATGACCAATTCCGATATATTAGAATTCATACTTGGCTGTGAGGCTTGGGGGAATAAAACAAAAGAAATGATCTTGAGGCTCAGTAATAAGTAATACATTTCTTTTGTTTTATTTCCAAGCATTGTGGCTGAGCCTGGTTTAGTGGATAATACGGGACCGGGGTGCGGGGTGCGGGGTGCGGGGTGCGGGGTGCGGGGTGCGGGGTGCGGGGTGCGGGGTGCCGGGGCGAGGGAGCGACGGGGTCTGTGGAAAACACGGGGTCCCGGGGTCTGTTGGGTTTTGCCGCGAAAAATAAGTAAGCAACAACACTAATCGGTTTCCTTTATAAAGACTATATACAAACTGCGGACCGAGCAAAAAATACAGCCTGCAGACTGACGTTAGGCAAGGATAAAACGCATGCAAGGTGTAGAATGAAGACTAGAAGGTAAAATGCACACCTGGCAAACGTAAACTGTACTCGCGAAGGGGTTAAGACCAAAACCCTGAAATTAATAACACTTTCTGGTAATCTGCTTTTAGTCATCTTTTCACTCTAATGACTTCTCTGGAGCGTTTTTATTTCAATGTTTACGATATGGAAGAATAACGGTCATCTTGACGTTTTGGAGAGACATCCTAAGCTGGCGCCTCTCATCTCTCAGGGCCGCCTTGTAAACTAACTTCGCGCGCTCGAAGAGAAGAAGCGACAAGTCGATCTTTGTTGCATCAAAGACAATTTCTCTGGACTTTTCAATCCGTCAGTAACAATAAGGCAGTCCGGAACTGCTAGATCGTGAACGTAAATAGAGTAAAGTTTATGGAAAACGAATCTGTAACATATAAGTAGCCTAATTTTACTCAAAACACACAGTGTTTGCTTGGTCCGATACAATGGTAAGCCTTCCGCCTCGCGAGCTGAATGTCCGAATTCGAAACCTCGTCAGCATAACGTTTCTTTTTTCGTTTGTTTTTCTCAAGTTTTCTTTTTAATTTCTTTTCATAAATATCAGTTTCTCCGAATTCGGCCGGTAATCACAGATTTACTTTTCATTCGGATATTGACGGTCTTGTTCATGTATTGTTTGTTACTCAGGTCACCAAGACGTTTCCAACTTGCGTCTTTGAGTCTAACTAGCCGGCCATTTTGACTAGAAGCTGCTTCTTACCACTGTAAACCGTTTCCGAAAATGACGTAGCTTCATTTCATCATATTTTACTCCAAAGCCGTGCTCGTGAGATTGTTTGCGCAAGGGCGATCCAAAACCCGGAGACGGAAACGGAGGCGGAAGTGAAAAATGAAATGATGAAAGAGGTCGTTAAACTGTTGCCTTTCATAAAGAAAGAATAAACAAAAAAAGTAAATAAAAGCATCGGAAAATGTCTCCAGCAGAGGACAATGATTCATTCATCCGGGACATATAAAAGACAATAACAGGGGAGCTGTGATTGATCACCTCTTCTTTTATCTTGTCACACCGCCCTTCCCTGCCAAAAAGGCAATCGTGCGCTATCGCTTTCAGGTACAGTTAGGTACTATAGCGGTGCTGTTCTATGGAACAGTCTGCCCTCTTCTATTAGGAAAGCAAATTCTCTGGCTAACTTTCGACAGATGTTTTAAAGCGTTTCAGTTAACTGACACGGCTTTCATGGAAAACAGGCATTAATTTTTCTTTCCTCTTTTAGATTTTACATTATAGATATATGTTTATTTCTTCTACTAAGTTATATTTGTATTTACATAATTGTACACCGTTTTATAAAATCACTCTAATATGTAATTATATTTTAAGTCATAGATAGTCAATACCATAGTTATCCAATGTTAGTAGTATTATTTCTTACCTGATGTATTTACCGTGTACAAATAATAAAGATGATGATGATGATGATGATGATGATGACGGACTTGGCATATCATTGTCGTGTCAAAAGATTCCGAAAATCGGTTGTCTTTTGTACGCTGGTGGCTCCAATATATATAATCAATTGTTAATTACAAGGAGCCTGGCCTGGCACTTACTCACTTTAGGAAAACTCATTAGATGACAATGGTGACTTCTTTGGCCATGCGCAGTAGTCACAAAAACGACAGACCCCGTGTCTTCCACAGACTCCGGGACCCCGCGTTTTTCCATAGACCCCGGGACCCCGCACCCAGGTCCCGTATTATCCACTAAACCGCTAAATAGCGCTGCGCGCAGTTACAAAATACACAGCCCGAAACTCAGGCAAACAAACTGACTTAACATAAGCAAATTCCTCACTTTTGTCTGACCTTTGTCATTTAAAAAATGTCATGTTTGTCTGTCTTTTGTCATTAAAATGAGAAAAATGACAAAACTAAGACAAAAACTTGCAAATTTGTTACTCTGACTTCATTCTCGCGCTACGCTATTTTGCATTGATTCTGTTTCCGATTTTCCTGGGTATTACAAGAGAAATCGAGGCAACGCTTATACAAAAGTTTTGGGGAACAATGTGCATTATGGTCAATATTATTTGAAAATGGTGAGTTCTGTAATGTTGTAAAAAATGGGAGCTCGTCGCTCGGTGAGTTGTTTGGTTTATGGTCTGCTTGGTGTAGTAGCAATCAGCCTTTACGTTCGCTTTGGAGAGGAAAACCGCCGGCTTACTCCCGATAGTGTGACGACGAAACCCGTAATGGCTAATAATGACTTTCATCTGGAAACAGAAAGGAAGTTTGTAATCCTACAAAACAAGTCACTTATGCTGGTTTTGGTGTATACTAAGTTTTCTAGAGTGGAAAAGTGGATAAATGAGCGAGGTCCTTGCTATAACTTAAACCACAAAATATCTAAGGAATGCCCCTTAAATAAATTTAAGCTGACTTACGACAAGAAACGGTTTACCGAGAGCGACTTTGTTGTGTTTGAAGCCAGGGACATGCCCACTTTGCCCCAACTTAAAGCATTGTTAAAAGAAAGACCCATTTCACAGCGTTGGGTGTTTGCGTTATGGGAAAGTCCAAAATATTTCTCTTACACGAAGCCATTTCACGGCTTATTTAACCTAACATGGACTTACAGACGAGATTCAGATATTTGGGGACCATATGGTAGCTACATACAATTCAGCAGCGAAGATCCGATATACGACAACAAAAAGGGACAACCGCCAGATTTTACTCGAGGAAAGTCAGAGCTTGTGGCCTGGATGGTTTCCAATTGCAAGGCTAAGTTAAGGGTCAGGTTTGTTCGCGAGCTAAAAAAGTTCATCAAAGTTGATGTTTTCGGAAAATGCTCTGGGAGAATCTTCGGTGAGAAGCGATCATGTCCAAAAACAAAACAAAGCAATTTCAATTTCCCTTATTGCCTGAAAAGGTATAAGTTCTACCTCTCTTTTGAGAATGCCTTATGCGAGGATTACATCACCGAAAAGTATTGGGCGAATCTTGGTGACGCGAATGTGATTCCTGTTGTAATGGGAGGTGCTGACTATACCAAGCTAGCCATACCTGGTTCATATATCAACGTCATGGACTTTAAAACGGTGAAGCAACTCGCAGAATATCTTCAGTATCTAGATAAAAACAATACGGCCTACAACGAATATTTTAAATGGAGAAACAAATACAAAGTGATTTCCGGTATTGGAAGATCATTGTGTAACATCTGCCAGTGGTTTGTTTCGAACGTTTCGCATGGCACGAAAGTATACAATGATCTTACCGAATATTGGGTGAAAAGGGGGAAATGTGCTACAAAAAATCATCTTGTTGCGAAAATGATTCCTAATTAGCGCATCAAAAATCCTACGTGATGCCTGAGAGCGTCAAAACGTACAACAAAAGGACGAGAGCATAAGTCTCGTATATTTAATCAAACGTCGGGAAATCACAGATGTACAGAGCATTTGTAAAATATATTTGTATGGGCAATGAAATGCGGAATAAATATAGTAGGCTGAAACGGGTATAAAGTGCAAATAATGTTGCCTACTTTTTTGTGTGTCTTTCTTTGAAGTTTGAGCTTCATTCGCGCAGTTTTACAGCTTATAGTACATACCATAAATGCTCGAATTAGCGCCCAGCTTCAAATAAGCGCCCCGCTTCGAATTAGCGCCCCCTTCAAATAAGCCCCCCCCCCCCCCCCCGACTACGATATATGAGACGTATACGGTACTTTTAATAAATGTGACATTCGTAATAGTACGTAGTTAATGTCGTTCAAAGTCGCACGGGTTTGCTTCTCATTTCCTCGATAGAAATATCCATATCAGCACGTAGGTGCTTCACTTTCATAGGTGCTTCGTCTTGAGAACGTTTTAAGTTTCACAAAAAGTAATTTTCTAAAACGTTTTTTGAATTTTTGTATGTTACAGTTTGGGTTAACTGGAAATAAAAATAGTGTCATTTTGAGGCCAAAAATTGATAAACGAAATAGGCGCCCCCCTTCGAATTAGCACCCCCGTCTCGCCTTAAAAAATTAAATAAGCGCCCCGGGCGCTAATTCGAGCATTTACGGTATGTAAATTTTTCCTGCCACAAATCAGGAGAACAGACATATTGAGGGTCTTTTCGTTAACTGTAGCTGCTGCTGAAGCGAGGTAATTTAAGAAACTATATCATTTCAATGATAACAAGTTATTCCCAGCGAGATATAATTTAAAGTTCGAAAGAAATAATAATAATAATAATGATAATAATAATAATAATAATAATAATAAACAAAACGAAAACAAACAAACAACCAAACAAAAAACAACAACAACAAATTTCAAGGTTTCTGGTTTCACTTTATATACATAAAATTTTATACATTTTATACGTAAAATCATTTCCGTTTATCGTTTTTTTGATCTTCTTACAATTTCCCATCCTTCTTCGTCTTGATCGGGCTGTGAAGGCGATTGCCTCAAGGAATTATCTACAAATAGTAAAAAACGTACACATACTTGAAACAATCAATCAATCAATCATTGATTGATTGTACGCATCAGTTCATTTACCCTTTTAGGAGTTAGCAAATAAACAACAAAGGCGCCGGGAATATCATGTATAAAACAATTGATCAAAACAACATCACATTATTTCGAAGTTAGAAAGTTACATGCTGATCAAAATGCATTTTTTAATTTCAAGTAATAATAATAATGATGATAATGATGATGATGATGATGATGATGATGATGATGATGATGATGATGATGATGATGACGACAATGCATGAAGGATAGATAGCATGTATTATTGTCATCAGCTCTATGGACTTAATGCGGTCACCAATGGGTCAATAAGGTTTGGCCGTATTACCGGGGCAGGTTCAAATTTCATGACTTGAGGGCCGTACTGACAAATACATCGTACATCGCCGCTATTCGCACTTTCTTGAACAACTGTTTTCATTAATAAACAACCGGAATGTAGATTTCGCGTACAGTAATTAAAAAAAACTACTTAAAATTTTCCTTCAGTATATAAAACACTTTTAAACTTCGGCTATAAAATCGTCACAAGTGCATTTTACTGTAGTCTAAAAACAGTACAAGAACAGGCCCAGATTGCAAGGTCAATAAAATTGACATGTCACGGGCATTTTAATTTTCTAAATTTCGAACGAATGGCGGTGTTAACGGGGTGAAATTATAAGAGATTCTACTGTTTGGGATTTTAACGAGCGACCGGGGTTAACGGTTTTTTTTTAGGGAAATGTATTGCCTTTTTTCGGGGCCGAAAAAAAGTGGCTGTAACAACGAGGTGACTGTATTACCGAGGTGGCCGTAACCCGTAAGGCGGGGCTCCACTGTAGTTAGTAATAAGCCATTTCCGACCTCCCCCGGGCCTCTGCATCAAAACGACGTTAAGTCCTCAGCTTTTGATATGGAAATGCTTTTTCATTCTCATGCAAATAAAAGTCATTTTCGCAAGAAAAGCTGTGCACTTGGCCTCCTTTTGAAAGTGAGGGTTTTTGGAACTCGGAAGTGGCCTGTTACATGTATCTTTTCAGAAACTGGGTCCTAAGAACAAAGCCTTGGAAGATAAAACAATGGGGAAAACCTCAAAATTGCAAATTTGCATACTTTTCCTCTGCAAAATCGCAAAACATAAGACACATATACAGATTGTATTTCCTTAAAATGAAGTTAGTGTGAACATTACTGAGAATAGGGTGTATACTAGGCCTGATTTCAGCCACTCTCAAGGTCCAACATTTCCCGAAAAGTGGCTAATGATCGAGCCTAAGTGCATACAGTATCATATAATAATAATAATAATAATAATACTAATAATAATAATAATAATAATAATGATAATGATAATGATGATGAAACAAATAATTTTATAAATCAAACTTCATGGGGTTAAGAATCACAGCTGGCCAGAGGCAAAGCAGTTGGCTGTTTACAAGCATGGCCGATGATTTGAACTCAGGACTAGCATGAACAAATCCAGCTAGCAGTCAGGGCGAGACTAGGCTAGGGTGGGACTTTAACTCCATTAACTTTGCCAATAAAGCATCAAGGCTGGTCAGTGTTAAGGTAAAGGTATTATTACAAGCTAACAGTCTACTGATTTGTCTGTACCCACCATTTGGTGACTGACTTTGTCCTGGCTCTACTAAGCTGGAAGGACTCTGTGTACTGTTTTGTGAGATGTGAAGTCTGTCAAGCCGTTGGCTCACTGTAGAACTATCATCATGTCCATTAACAACAGCTTGAGCTTCCCTGGTTCCCATGTTATCTTCATCATCATCATCATCATCATCATCGCTATCAATCTGAGTAGCAGCCGATCTTTTCTTTACACACTGAGGAGGTTTTGTTATCGGAGCTAAACTGATTTCCTGTTGAATCTGTGCTGTGTTTCCTTGTTTCCACATTTTGTGAAAGCTACATAATTTCTGGACAATCTGTAAAATATTATAATAAAGTTCAGATATAATGCACACTCTGATTGGTTGAAAAAGCATGCCTTATGAAGGTATAACTGGGCCGTAGCCAGAAAAAAATAAGGATTGAGGCATTATCCATGGGTGAATTACCTGTCTAGCTATTCAGGGTCTTCGTTAAATAATATCAAAACAAGCTTAAATTTTGGTTCGATTATTAAGAAGAATTGAAACCATGTTATGAGAGCATCTACTTACCACTTTCTTTGAAAAAGCTGTTGATAAAACGCTGCATTTTGATAGATTTTTCTCACTCAGACCAGAGATGACAGAATACTCGAGAAACGGTGGCAAAACACATGAAAACAAGGCAGTTTCCTTTGGGAAGCCACTGTCTGGTTAGAATGAATTTTTGCTTAATTTTTCTCATCTGTAATTCAGGTCGCTGCCTGATTCGCGTTATCATTAAACACAATACCATGCTGCATTCAAACATTTTGTGTTTATTTAACTGTTTGTTAATTTATTTGCTGCTAGTGTCTTTCTTTCTCCTTCAAAAAAAGAAAAACTTTATTTCCCCGAAAAAAAAAAAAAAAATGACTGAGGCAAGTGCAAGTGTCAATAACTAGTTTGTTTTGAAAATTAGAAGGTACTGCATGGGGAATTTAATGGATTCTTTATCACAAAACAAAAAATAAAGAATCCTTGACTGTGCTCTGTTCTGCTGTAAGGCACCTAGTAATCAGCTTAGAGCACTCAAGAAGTAGGGAGAAACACTCTACTACATCTCGTGTTTACCCTAGACTTCTTTTGTGCTCTAGCCACTTTCTGTTTCCTTTACAACAAAAAAAAGCACAGTCAAGGCTTCCTTATTAAATAAAAATAAAATAAACAGTAACACAAACTGTTTAACTTGATTTTTACATTATTTATAAAGAATTAGAAAAAAGTAAAAAATTGAAAGAGCAACCTGCAGGAAAAAAAATCAACCTTAATTACATTGAAATTACTAAAATAGTCCATACATAGATCATCTAGAGGCTTTTCTTCAAATTTCACCTTGCTACTCACTCATGTATGCAGAGAAGCAGCATTGCATCTCGACTGCCATCTTAGATCATTAATTTAATAACTTTCATAGGATCATACTGTCATGTTATGTGACAGACTATTGTAACATTATAGAGTGTTGGGACTTGTCATCTGTTTAATTAAGTTTTTGTTGACAGATATGGATAGATAAGCCATGGTCTCCCAAAGCCAAATTCCTGGTTAAGTTATGTTTCCCATAAGGTCTGAGACAGACTTATCATTATAATGATGATGATGTTTATGAAGATCTAGACAATAACAAGGATGCAAATGTTTATGCAGTGATTGTACAGACGGTGTTATAGTCTCTAAAACTAACCTTGGGTAGGCTTCCATCTTCAGCCATTGTGTGAAACTCATTGAACAAAATTTCTTCGATATAACTCTCTAATTCATCATTTTCTATAGTCTCTACAAAAGAACAGAGAAAGCCTTGTAAAACTTAACCTAACCTTGCCGATTATTGCTACCTAAGCTACCATATACCTGTATTTGTTTTTCTCTCTAATAAGGGGTTAGCCTGTGTACAGACATCCCCCCTCCCTTTAGGAAAAATCGGGAGAGGAGACGACGATAATTGTGTGAATTGCCCACGATAACCGTGTTCCCATTTCCCCGGAATGTTGAGGACAGCCTCTGATTGGTTGTAATGTTAATGCCATGACACAAATAATTTCCGGTGTTGTGATTGGTTAATAAACCTCAGAATAGATTCCCTGGGGAAAAAAATCAGCCTTTGTGGACAGCTTAGCGCATTTATATTAATTTTGTTTGCTTGTATTTCGGGTCTCTGGAATAGGTACTGATGTTTCAGGCTGAACCGGTTGCGGGTGCGTCTTCTCTGCCAGTTGGTATTGTAAATAACAAGAGAAGGATGTACAGAATTCAATGCTTAATTAGAGATCTCATATCTGGATTTTAGCACGGACATTGCGTGAAGATGTTTGGCTAGCCCGTGTACAGACGCCAGGGTAAGTTTTGGGCTGCATGTGTCAATCATGACTCAAAGAATTAGGCAAAAGTAAGGCTATTGTAATTTCTTTATGAAGAGAAGTGAACGATCCTGGATCAACTCCTGCATAAAACGCTTGACTGGAAATGTAAACAGTGCTTCCGAGATCAAAATTCTGCCAAACTAAAAACCACAGGAAATCGATGCACAGTAGACCGACTTTATGAGCTAAAAAAAGACTGAAGAATGTGTTAGAATCTTCCAGCGAATGAAATATTCGTTATAAATGACATTTTAACTAGATATTCTAGGTAGAGCCTAGCTTAGCTATAAAGGTTGAGAACGTCCGATAACTGCGTCTGTACTGTACAAGAGTCCAGAGTCGTGTTGGTCTGTCAACACCTTTTCAACTGTCAGAGAAAAAACACCAACCCAAAAAAATTATGCAAAATTTGCATAGTTATTTTTTTGTTGTTTTTTTTTCTCTGTTAGTTGAATGTATACCGGAACACGATTAATGATAGACTTCTCTTCTATTGATTTTTTCTGAGCAGGGGGACGTCTGTACACAGGCTAATAAGGGGTTAGTTTGTTGTTGCTCTTGTTTGGCTGTTTGTTTATGCAGGTATCAATGTTCAGACGAAGAGGGTAAGGGGGGGGGGGGGGGTACGAGCAAAGTTGCAGTATTTGAACACTTCTGCTGTCCCTTCTCTGGGGAATTTGACCACAAATTTTGCCCCATGCTGCAGAGATTATTTTGAATTTGACCATACAGAGGACTGGGTCCTAAACTTGTGTTCCAGGAGACACCATCTTGGAAAATATCAGTAAGTGTGAAGCTGGCATGTATTAATTATTATATTTTTATAATGCAATACCACTACAGTATAATGTAAAGTTTGTTTGAAGAATATTGTAATAACTACAACATCCTTCAAACAAACTTTCCATTTTGGTGAAACCAAAGCTGGATTTTCAGCCTTTTATAATCGTTGAAGTGACTGGTTTCAGATATTATAAATCAAGGAGCAGTGCCCAATAACTTAGCTTACTTTGGTGACCTTAAAACCAGTTTAATTCCCAACGAGTAGCCAAAATAATCATCTAGGCTTGTTAAATGAACTTTCAACTGACAGTTGGATTCAGTTTCGGATACATGTATTGTCATATGTTTAATATCAGGCAGAAGAAAGAGAAGAAAGTGGATTGGATTTGTCCTTTTTGAAATCTTGTCGCTGTTGGGCCCTTGAAAGTCATTACACGGTTTTGTTATCCCTAGGTGTGGATATTTTATCAAATTTGAACTATTTTCCAGTCTCAAGAGACAGGAATTTGACCAAAAAGTTGCAAAAAAATTCAAATGCAGCACTTTTTCCCGTAGCCACCCCCCCCCCCCCCCTCCAAAAAACCTCTCCATCTGAACATTGATACCTGCATTACAAGAAACCCTGCAGTGTCACATCACTTCTCCCAGTACAGCACAGAGAGGCAAAAGAGGAAACATACCCTGTGTAGCTATAGTAGCACAACCACCCCAGGCCCATATTTCATCCAGAGATGTTCCACTTCTTTTTTATCTTTAACCCTGCCCTCCAGTAACTCTGAGGAAATGGGCTGTATAAGAATACCCAACCATTACCGAATGATAATATTTCGATTAACTGACTATCCGATCGAGTTTATAAGAACGCACAAATTAAACATGCTGAAAATACTAACCGTTTTCTCGAAGAACTTGGTCTACAACATCAACCATCCATTCCGCTTTTTCTCTGCTGTCTATTCCTCCAAATGAATGTTCAACAGCGAGCTGCAATACTGCCCAATTGCTTAAAACAAATCGAACAGAATCAATCAAAACATTAGTTGAACTCCCGTCCGCCATGTTGGATTGAGATTATACCGCTGATTGTAGGTACTGCGGGTGTGTACGATTATTCCCTTGCCCAGGCTCTCTCTTGAAAGGATCAAACAGATAAAAAAGGGCTCCTAGCGCTCCCAGGGCTCCCAGGGTAACTATTATTTCCTATACTAGTAATAGTTGACACTACAGCTGCCCCCGCTCTGTGTATTTTCGGTCAATAGCTTTCTTACTCGTTGCGTAGCTCTTGGAAATATACCGATTCATAAGGAAGATTTTCACACATATTCCATACAATAGGTGAGATAACGCAAGGTTCCATGCACAGTTTCAGGTCGATTTACACAGCTTTGATCAAAACATTCTCAGTTTCGAGAATAGTTTATTCTAAACCATAACAAAACATTTAATTAGAAGTTGAATTTTTCGCTATTTCTCTTCACTTTTTACACTCAGTTCACTTATTTGCCGGAAAGGAAGCCTTAGAAATCAAAAGGACGTTTGATCAATTCACAATCGCGCATTCTAGCCCGGGGGTGGGGGAGGACTCCTCATATGAAATGGGTGGAGATGCTCGTCGTCTCGCTTAGGGGTGTAAATTTCGGAATTTGGTCTCGCTTAGGGTGTTCTGGGCAAAACACCATTATATCTAGCCGCAAAGGTCTCTTTTAGAGTTGCACTCGAAGAAATATTGAAAAAATTATATATTTTCAAACGTTTTATTTACTCGATTCATGTCATCAAAGTTTAAAATGATCGCTTTTAGGGGTCAAAAAAAGGTTGGGCCACGCCCAGATTGGTCTCCTTTTGGGGTTTAATTCAAAATTTCCGACGAGCATCCCCACCCCTTTCATATGCGGAGTCTCCCCGGGCATTCTGGTCTTATTTTAAACTTTATAGCGGAAGGACATCTGTGAGCAGGGAATAAGTCAGCACAGAATTTGATTGTTGGCGAATTTTTGTAATCGTCCATCGTTCTGTTAGCGAGAAGCTAGCCGTTGTTCACTCGTCTTACTTGTTTGGGGCTGAGTCTTACGCCGGTCAAAGAGAGAGAAAGAGTGTCTGGCAAAGTTTCCAATGAAAGATTTGTGAACCGTGTCTGGCAAACTCTCCAAGTCTTTATATATACACAGTTATACGCACCTTATAACTTCTTCTGCGCTTAACAAGTGTCGTTAAAATTTTGGTCCATAACTTTCACTGAAACAACTGCTCCACAGAATGTTACTGAACACGTAACGCAAAAGAGTGTCGACGTATGACTTCACAATAAATGTCACAAAATTTACCTAAGCGGTCCCTTGGAGATGTTCAGTGTTTACGTCATCCTAAGCATTTCGTACTTGCGGGCGCAAAACAATAGAAACGTCATCATTACCTACCGATTCCTCGCGACCCCTGTTGAACAAATCGACATTTTTTCTATATTGACTATATATTTCAGCTGTAAGTACTTTCCTTAATATACGAGCGAGTTACTAGAGTGCCTCCTCGGGATTTCGCCTTCTAGGCGAAATCCCTGCGGGGCTAATTATTGTCTGCTTATAAAGCATGGTGCCGGGGAGATACATTTGTCTCAAAAACGTTTAAGTAGCTAGGCCGAACGTTGCCGTGTGTCTGCACGGCGTTTTCCCAGTCCCTCTCGGTCAACTCACTTCGGTGACGTATCCGAGGCCAACGGGTGGGAAACCCCTCACATTTTCGCTTGGACAACGTGAACCGAAACGCTTTGGCCGAGTGGAATAATGAGGCCTAGAGACTAGGCAAGGCCGAAAGGTCAAATGAGACTTGCCTGTTTCACTTTAGATCATATCATTGGATTCACAGATTTACGACCGACAATAAATTCTGTTCCAAATTTTCCATTTACGAGTTGACGCTCTAATCAGTATTCCACTTTTCTTTATTCTTTTGATTCCGCTCGGTCACTTTCATTTTGTCTAGTACATCGAGGACACAGTTCCTCTTATGATCATGGTATAGTCGACACAGAGTTCAATGAATTTGTTTATAGATCGTGTAAAATCTCGCGAAAAAGGTGCCAGAGGTGACAGCCAGAGGAAAAAAAGAAAAGGAAAACACGATTGAAAGTAACCTACGTGAAATAATGAATATACCGACATAAATTTACATATGAGAAACGTGTTGTCGCGAATTCTACCCTGGGAGCAGATGTTTCTCTCTTGAATTCCTTTTATTGTTTACAAAGTCGTTCGCGTGGCTTGTCTATCGCGTGGTTGGACAAGCCAAGCGAACGACTTCGTAAACAATGGTTGTCTTTACTCTAGGATGTTAAGTAGACTTAAGAGCTGCTAAGTTTTACTTAATCAAAAAATACCTGTCACCCCCTGACCTGTGAAGGCCTAAGTAAAATCTCAAGTAACTTTATTACTTTGCATCTCATTAAAGTCGGAAAGTTGAAGTGATTCAAGAAAGTTTCAAATGACTTGAAAACCATCCTTAAAACCGACTTAGGGGCTCTTTACATGGAGGAAGGAAGATCCTAGTATCAGGAAGACCCTAGAACGCGGTTCAACTTTATTTTGGGTTTACATGCAGAAATTTGGGTCCGTGTGGTACCCAAATATAGAATAGGGCCATTTATACGAGGAAAAATAAGACGCGTCTTACATAAGACGCGTCTTAAATAAGACGCGAACTGTACCATTTATACGAGCATGTCTTATCTAATAAGACGCGTCTTAGCTAAGCCGCGTCTTATTTTAGACGAAATGTGCCGTTTATACGGAAAGTTCGCGTCTTATTTTTCCTCGTATAAATGGCCCTAATGTTTGAGAAGGAATTAAAAATGGCGGGCGACAAAAACAAACATACAATATGGGCCCTTCCACTCTCTACTGGCGTTAACAACTTCCTCGCAGGCTGACGCCAATTCTCAGTCACGTACGTGCTGTACTGTGAATAAGGTTTATTTACTCGGTGTTAAACATACATTCGTAAAATGCAGACAGGTGTTTTTACTGGTCAGGCCCGCTCTGTATAATATGAACTGCTTAGGGGGGAGGGGGTTATAATTTTTGCAGGTTTAAGCCTTTATCATACACCTACGTTCTACAATGAGTTAGTTTTTAGAGCGTGACAGTGGCGTTCCTTTCATTTTACCTCTTATATCCCAAGCAGTTTGAAATACTAATGGTAGCCAAGGTTTCCTTTCTACTACAAGAAATTAGGAACATATGATGCCGGAAACGAAAATTTTAATTTACGTATAGTACACACTAACATGGTTTAAACTGTCAAGCCGTCCCTACAAGCACTGCTGCTGAGCCTTTGACTTTTTCAAAGAAAGATTGTTTTCCGTCTCCGTCACAGTGTGCCCAACTCCGTTCTTTCGTTTTTGCCGGCTAAATGTGTAAGAGACATTTTAGATTTAAGGCCGACTTGGACGTTTGTCTACGAATACCGCGATATTTGACTTAAAGTTTTTTCGCGTATTCTGAAAATATAAACTCGCTGGAAAACTTAATTTCTAATATTTAATAACTTGTTCCCGCCACTACGACATTCTCGCTAAAACTCGTAGTAGAGTGACGACGGCTAGCTAGCAACCACGTTTTCCCGCTAAAATGACGCTGGTTCAAGGGCGAGCACTTCTTACTATTGAGAAAATCTCGTACTCGTTATCGTAATTGTCTTAGAATCTAAAGGTCTCTATTGATAATCCGTCATAAAACAAGACGACTGAGTAACAGAATGTATATGCCGTAAGCTGCCGCTTATAAGAGCCTCTCCACGTCAAGCTCCTCCCAGTGGTAGGACCATCTACCAGTAAACAACAACAACTGCAAAATCATCTTATTATAACCCCACCCCACCCAGTTACATTTCCCCCTACGAATGGTTAAAGTCGATTCGAATTATTATTATATTCTAATTCGCTACCCCGCTCAAACGAATATAAAACATTTATCATGTAACAAGCAACCTCAACTGGGGTGTGTCAACAAGCGCCGTGTGCGACCCTCTTTATTATGCCTTCATCAACAAAATGGATGGAAATCATACAACAAACAGAATGAAAACTCGGAAATGTAAAAAATTACAGCAAGAAAAACAACCCTACAAAATGATCTAAACTATGCTCGTATAACAATGATTCAGTAAACATACAAAACATGCTAAACCTTTCATATAGCAGCATGCAAAAAACTACGTCTAAGAGAAACCCCTGGTTACTGGGTATTTAATTTTGAGGGCGTAGGGACGGTCGTAAGACGGGATGAAAATAAATGAGAACAACTCAAATATATATAGCCTACCGCTAATGAAGCAATAGAACAGCATACCATGTAACACCCCAAAGAAAAGGTTACATAACCCATGATAAATACATTAACTTTTTGTGAAGGTTAATATAAAACTAATAAATGCAAAACGTATTTTGATCACAATTGCTATCACACTGCTATCACTTGTTTCCGGAAGCGCTTTTTCTATTCCGGGTAAAAGCCCCTCTGTTTACAAGCCATCCTAAAACCCCTTACAAAGATGTATAAGCCTAGGGCTTATAAACAGCTGTTTACGGTATTGCCTGTCTACGCCAAATAGTAAGTTACGTACAAGATGGAATGGTAGTATACATGTCACCCATATAACGACAATAGCGAGTGAACGCATGCTCAGAGCAAAGAAGACTGGGAAATGAACTTGAAAAATGTAACTGAAGACGAAATTAGACAAAAAAAGTCCTAAAACTGTTTTGTTCACAGGCATTTAGGGCTTTCCTTCTACAAGGAAGGACACAGCAGACCCGAAAATTATTACAATACACAGTCTGACATATTTGTACTGTTAGGACTTCCTTGCATGACGTTAGCAATATATACTGAATCCAGCTATAATTACTATACTAATCAAACATGTCATATTGCTCAGCCGGTCATTGGCACAGGGTAAGAAATAAAAGTTAAGGGATCAGTTATCGGAATCAGTTTCTGTCAAATTAGCCAGTGACTTATTAGCACTTACTACCCGGTCCATATATCAGTAGACAATTTTAGAGTGTATAACACGACGCGCTCTTAAACATAGTCGAACCAAAGAAAAATGGACGTGACAAATGTTACTGCAGACGAAAAAGGGAAAAGAATCCTAGATCTTTCCTGTTCAGCGAAATTCACTGAAGGGATGCATGGCGAGCTAATCTTTCTTTCAGCTCTAAATATTATTCTGTCCATGACAGCATTTCTGGGGAACACACTGATCCTAGTTGCTCTATACAAGGAGACTTCACTACACCCACCGTCCAAACTTCTGTTTCGTAACCTAGCGATAACGGATCTCTTTGTTGGTATTATTGTAGGGCCTTTGGCTGTAACTTATTGGACCTCTGTTGTGACCAAGCTATGGAATATTTGTTATTACGCGTATTTGTCAAGAACTATCTCAGGCATCATTTTGTGTTCGGCGTCAATGTACACACTAACTGCAATATGCGTGGACAGACTTCTTGCTCTGTCGCTAGGGCTAAGATACAGACAAGTTGTGACTTTGAAAAGAGTATGCATAAGTTTGATTGTTTTTTGGCTTTTGTCTATTGTTTCTTCATTTCTATTCGCTGGAATTGAAATAATTTCGTGGCTTGCAAGACTAGGTTTTAGTCTCTGCCTAGTCACCTCAACTTTATCTTACATAAAAATTTTCTTCACTCTGCGTCACAATGAAATACATGTTCACAACCAATTTTCACAAGGACAGCCGAGTCAAGCACCTCCAATGAATATAGCTCGATACAGAAAGGCAGTGTACAGTGCACTATGGGTGCAAGTAACATTTGTTGCTTGTTATCTCCCTTTTTATATAGCATTAAGATTAACACCTCAAAGAGGGATACCTCTATCTAGTATTTACCTTGCCAGGGAATTTACAGTTACTTTAGTATATTTAAACTCGTCTTTAAACCCTTTGCTTTATTGTTTGAAGATCGGAGAAGTAAGGCAAGCTGTAAAAGAAACATTGCAGCAACTGTTCTGTTGATCAGGTCAGTTTACAAAGCATTTCAAAGAAATACAGCAGGAACGCGTTAATTTGACCATTTGCTTGGTGAAAAATCATGTAAAAACCAAATTCGCGTCTTCTGTTAAAAAGAAAAAAAAAGTGATACTGTCAGATGTGCCTTGTATATATCACTACCAGTTTGGCGTTTTCGTAAATGATCAGTTCTAAAAAGCGATAATTTTAACAGCAGAAGGCTAGGATGGCAAAAAAAAAAAAAATTTACAGGTTTAACGACTTAGTTTCAGCCAATTTCTGAAATGTCCATTCAGTACGTACAGTGGAACCTCGATATATCGAATATTCTTTGCCCCAGAAATAGTGGTATATGGAAAAGAACCTCAGTACTGTGTAACGAAAACGTTTTATTGCGAAGATGATAAGACTTTAAAGTGAAATAAGAAAAACTGTTATCCGAACCGCCGATGTTGCCAATTTTATATGTACATAATTTCCTATATATTATTCTAATTGTAAATATATTTCATTGCAAGCTCATTTAAAGCATACATCAGCTTTCTTCCGGTTTATTGCAAAGGTGTTTTTTCTAATTATATGCAATGTAGAGGCTTGAACTGTAATAAAAGAGTCCGCAAATCAGAGCTCAGCTCACCAAAAAATGTTTATACTTCGATCGATTTCTTCCGGCCTACTACTGTTAATTCCATCCTAGAGTAAAATTAATAAACACTATGACACATTATTAATATACTGAACGCTGAAACTGTCGGAGGGATAAAAAATAATTATAAGAAGCACAACATTTTTTAAATGCATTATCAGCTATTATCGGTCTTAAAAATATCTGCAACCGGTGCCCATTAAGCCTTCTGCACTTTTTAGATAGTAAGCCCCGTGCAAACCGACGCAACATTCGTGACCACCAACAACGCATTACTCCAAACATTGTTACATGTTACATGTTGCGTCCGTTTGCACACCCTGTTACATGTTGTTGTGTGTTGTTTTTGCGCAAAGTATGAAAGAGGTCAAACTTTTAGCCGTTGGGCCAACAATAATGTAGCCTGTACACACACGTTGTTTTATTTTTCTTCTCGTTCTTTTCAAAAACAGCGGCGAGCGTGCGAGAACGGGCGTGAAGCGCGAGTTTGCGCTGGCGGTCAATAAATCCCCTGCAGTTTATGTTTTATCACGCGCGCTCGACGGATTTTGAAGAGAAAATAGAGAGTCTGTGAAAAGGCTAACAATAATGGGAGTTGTTGCGGCCGTTTTTATGTAGCTGTACACTGACTAATAAAACTGTCAAAAAATAACGGCAAGAGTAATAGCTATAAGAGATAGTCCATATGCACGTCACCTAAAAGAGTTTTATTTCCAAGAGTGATGGTCTCAGTAATATGCAGTAACAGTGTTTTGGCTTTTGTCTGTTGCTTCTTCGTTAATGAACTTTGGAATTCAAATAATGTGGTGGCTTGCAAGAGTAAGTTTAACTCTGTGCCTTGTTACCTCAGTATACATAAAAATTATCTTCACTATCAATTTATTAATTCTCATGTGTTTTTCTCTTATTGTGTATTGATATTGTTAGATGAGAATTGATGTACTATCCCTAGTTAAAATGGGGGAACCTGCTACATGTAAAAACAAACTCTCTCAATCAGAAATTTAAAACTTCAGTGGAATGCTCGGCCAGAAAACAGGCTGTCTTATATCACAGTTCTTATCATAGTTCAGCTGAAGTGATGCCTCAAGTGACATTATAAGAGGGGCATGTTTGCCATAAAGTACATTCATTTCTTCTTTCCTCTTGGCACCAGGTTGTTCTGATGGAGCACTTGTGGTTGTATTGAGGTGGATTGATCCAACTGTTAAAGGAAAAAAAAATATGTTGTATAATATTCTAATCTAAGAGAATTCACTGTCTTTAACTCATACGATACACATTATTTTATCTACATAAATGCTTCCCTAGCCACTTTAGTAAGCATTTTATAAGAGCAGTGCCTTTTTAAGATTACCGGGCAGAGTACAGACAGGCAATTATTGCAAAAAAAAAAATCGTCATTTAAATAGGAAACCTTTTTGCAACTGCAATGCCCCGACTTATCTCAGTTCCCTTGGCAACTGAGTTACAGTGCGACCATGCGAACCGAGGCCACACAGACCAAAAATGAGACAAATTTTGAAATTAGCTAATCACCAGTTGAGATCTAAACAATAAAACTGTGCATAATTTTGTACTCAGAGCCAGTTCAAAATACGTTGTGAACCATTTTTTCTAATAGATATAAAAAATAAGGAATCATGACGTTTGTGTAAATCAAGCTGAAAATGTTGTCACTTTTGACAACGTCTGGGTTTGCCAGAATCAAAGCTAGCAGTAAAGAAATTTTGACCAATCTGAACTAACTTCCTTCCATCCTCGAAAGTTTTGAGAATCCAGTCTTGAGTCTCCAGTCCCGAGGATCGAGACGCAAGTGACTGTCAACTTACTTTTGAGTGGTACTGTACTTGTCATTGGACATGATATTAAACAGGACAGATGAAGTAGATGTACAAAAGACTATCATTTTGAAGTTGAAAACATGTGTATAGTCACTTAAAACATTAAAGGTGCTATGTAATGAGGCTATTGCTGTTTTATGTCAATTCTGTGCTGAAGTTATCAGGGGCAAAGCGTCCTTTACGCAAATACACACATGCATACTTGAGAAATAGGTAGGAGTTTTTTCTGAAAGATTTTACGTTATAAGTAGAAGCCATTAATAGTGTTGTGACATGACCTTGTATTGCACAGATTTGTTTCTGTCTATCTCGTTGTTATTCTGCATCGTTTTTACACGAAAAATACAACAGTTTGAGTAGTGAAACATTCACGAAATGTTTGTCTTCAAGTGATTCCACAATACATTGCATTTTAATGAAAAAAGAAGGGGGACCGGGGAAATTCATGTCGCCACAAAGAAACGATCCTGACTGATTAACATTCCTTTCAAGATTTTAATATATGGAAAGTTTTCCCATTCAAAAGCTCCATTTTTTAGTTTTCTCTCTCTATATATACACTAAAAAAGTTTATCTCAGACTACTTTAATGTCGTTTAACTGGGAAATCATGGACCAGACAGACCATGCAGACCACAATTGAGGGATAAAGTTGAAGCAAACTATTAGGTGCAAGTGTGGCGCGGTATCAACAAGAATTTTGCAGGAAACTTACTCCAAACAGATGTAGTATTGTTTTCAATGATAAACATTAGAGATACCTAACAACTAAAAATAAATAAAGGCTGACTACAATTGTTTGTTCCCTTCCCGTGCTCATGATCGAAATAAAGGAAAAACTCAAAAGTCATCAGAGGACTAAGCGTGTGGAAAATTAACACAATCCTGCACATGCCACAATTCTTCCAACTGATGCTTTTTAACTCCAAATTTCTGCACAAAAGGGTAAGCTTTAAGTGGTCATTTTTCTTGAGTGGCAAAGAAAAAAATAAAAGGGTCAGTAGATTTTATCTATCATTCCTAACATAAAAAAGTTTTGCTAAATTTTCATTTGGCATTTGAACGAAACATCTTATTCGAATTTTGTGTGAATTATTCAGCGCTTGGATGTTTATTTAGTGGAGGTGCCTTGTGCTGGTGAACATTCCAGTACAAGCTTAAAGAAGAACGTTTTTTCTATCGTGAACAAGCCTGTAAACTGCCAAAATATGTATGAATGAAAAGAAAGCAAAAACGTCATTTTGTACGTATATGGATCTGTGTGCAGACCTGTCAAAATGGTCACCCTAGGCCCCTGGTTATTAGTTAGTAACTTTACAGATACACGTATACAAAAATACTCCTGTAGAATTATGAGGAAGATATCCAAGCAATTTCATCAAGAAGCACTAACCGTAATAATTTTTTGGTTATTTTTGCAGAGACATCATAAAAAATTGAAAAGAGCCAAAAATGTAATGTCAAAACAAACAATGGATTGTAGATTCCTATTAGTTTCAATAGCCAGTTACCTTCAATGTATTCATCCTTCTCTTGTAATACTTCTTGCTTTCCTGGAAATCAAAATATGAAAATGGATTATTTAAAACTTAACTTTTAAAGGAAAAATTTCTCAACCTAAAGCCACTCACCAAAACTTATCTACAGCCTGTTCATTTCACAACGAGAGTATCAACAACAAGCAACTAGCTGTGAGATGACAATACCCAACTCAGTGCTTCGCATCTTGTTGACTATCTACCATCACATATCCAGTGCATTCTCAGGGAAAAATAACATTGTTAAATAGATGATGTATAATCATTATAATGTTTAACTGAAAGTTTCAATCAATTTCTGCCAAAGTATATTGGAAATTTGTTTGCGAGACAGAGAAAAACAAATTTTTGACATCACTGCATTAATCTGCACTCTCAAAGATCATAGCTTTTGACCAATGAACACATGAGAAAAAGGCAGTTAGTCAGTACAAAAAGTGTCTTACATGTATATGCTAACAAAACTTACTTTGCTCCCTTTCTTGTCTGTGCCTCTCTGATTGTTCTAAGAATTTTCTGAAATTGTCATCAACTTCCATATTTGTGTCACTGTCATTGTCATCACTACCACTATTATCACTGGCATAATAATTGTCTTCATTGTTGGAATAAATATGCTCATCCACATCATCTTCATCATAATTATTGTCATCATCATCATCATCATCATCATCATCATCACCATCATCAACACCATCCTCGTCATCTTCACAATCCTCATATGTATTATTGCAGGCACCACATTTATCATTATCAATTCCCGTAAATACTACATCACAGGGATACCAAGCAAAATGTGAGCTCCCACTTTTACTAGGACAATGTGAACTAAAAGAAGATGACATTTGATTACCAGGACAGTCTTTGCATGAATTCTCTTTTTGCAAACGGGGATCACGCTGATTTTCATCCTGCCAGTAGTCACAGTCGCATCTGACAGTCACAGATCTTTCTGCACATTCACAATTCTGATCTGAAAGCTGACTGCCCCAAGACTGATTGTAGCCGTTGTAAACATTCCACCACCATAACGATAATTGATAGCAATATTTCGCGTTTGCTTGGGCGAACGCCATGTAGTCGTCTCTTGTTGTAGGCTGTTGTCCATAGTGGTGTTCCTGATTGTAGTAGAAATTATCCGGTTCAGCCATCTTTAAAATGCATACTCTAAGTTTGAATTTTCTTGCCTCGACCAGGTCGCCTTATTGAAAATGCACTCTACTGTAGCACTGTGGGTAAATTGAACACGCAATCTCTTGTACAGCGGTGCAGGCAAACATAAACAAAATGGCGGCCCGGGAAAATGTCCACGTGTGTGATTACAAGCGTTGCGGAAAATCGTTTTCTAAGGAAATCCGGTTGGTAGAACACAAAAGAATGCACACAGGAGAGGTAAAAAAATGTTTTTCCGATTTCTTCGATGAAGTAAAACGCGTTGTGGGACTGTTATTGCTTACTTAATTATCCGCAAAACTCGTCACTCTAAAACGTACCAGATACGTTTGGCGCGCCATAAAATTAATTTAAGTTAGGTACTGTAGCTCTCATTTCTGTCCCTTTTCGCTTTAGTTAACTGTTTTCAACACTTTGTGTATTTCTAACTTCTGTTACTTAGATTTCTTGTTTGCATGCCGATGTTTCAAATTTCGGCCCACTGCCTGAACAGAGAATGCAAAACTTGTTTGGTTTTGTTTTGATCACCGCTCCAAGGCTTAAGGATCAGACGCGCTAGATAAATTCATATGATAGATATAGTTTTGACTCCAATGTTGCGAGCTTGCTTTTTAATATTTTAGTTCTAATTTACAGTTTCATTAGTCTTCCAAGTATGTAATTATTATGATTATTATGATTATTTTTTTAGATAATGAACAATGGAGCAGTATAAGAAACTGACAAATTTTAGTCTGTATATATCTGCTGTCAGCTAACAAATTTTTCATTTAATATAACTCATGCACATAGTAATATTTTATATTTCTAATCAATCGGTTCACCGCCCAGCCTTTGTGATTCTTAGTTGGATCTGGCATCCAAGTTTTTTAAACTGCCTTCATAATAGTGATAATAATAATAATACAAATACACTAACCTTTTATTGATAACCAAACTAACTATTAAAACCTATTTACAATTAATTTCGCTGAAGAAGAAAAAAAATATTCAGCCAAAGTGCTATTTACAAGTCATTTCATTTCATAAAGCTTCTGTTCATTTTGATTAAAAAAAATTCATGTCAATTAAAAAAAAAACCTCATTTAAATTAAAAACAATTCATTTCGATTAAAAATGAAATGAAAATATTGAAAAGATCCAAAAATACTAATAGCGTTTAATAATAATGAGAATGATAATAAAAAGATTAGTTAATCTATGCCTGTGCTTGTGTGGCTACTGCCTTACTTTTTATAATATCATAGTATAAAATTTATACTATGATTTATAATATGCTATGTTGTATTAGAAATATGTGTCTCACAAAACTTCACAATGCTCAGAAAAAGGACCAACATTAGAAATAAAAGGGTAAAAAACCATAAAAAAAAAGAATGCTCCTTTGTTAGGTATCATGCTGTTGCTCAACTATGCAGCTGCACCACAAGAGATCACACTCTCTGACTTGGTGAAAGTATTCTATTTAAGGCATATTTTTCTTCGAATATTCTAGTGATAAAGGCCGTCTGAGGCCAGTGAAACCGTAACATGAATGAAGATAGATTTCAGGAAAATATGAAAGGTTTTCACGATAAATAGTCAAACTTGTTATTATGCTGTTTATTTTATAGAGACCTTGTGTATGCCCTCATGAGGGCTGTCAGAAATCATTTATCCGGGCTGTCCATTTAAAAAGGCACTTGCTGTCTCATAGTAAAGAAAAAGTTTTCAAGTAAGTAAATAGTATGTTGAAATGACCATCTGGAAGGGTGAGATGGGTGATAGAGATAAACCCAGTGTAATTGTAGCTAAGCCTTAAACATGACCATCGTGTAGGACAGTGTGTATGTTGTTCTGCTGCAACTTTGCTACAGTGTTCTAGTCCAGGCACTCAAAATTCTAAACCTACTCCAAATGAAATCTTAATCAGAAACCCAATTCCTCATACCACCCACCAATTTTCCATTCAATTTCCTGTCCAGGCATTGGGTTGTTCCAGAAAAAATCCACACCCCCCCGACGGATGGGATTCTGGAAATTCTCGCGGGAGGGGGGGTCGAAGACTCCGGAAATGCAGGCGGGAGGGGGGGTTGACCTTAAAAAAGTCTTCTGCAGGGGTCATTTCGACCGATAGTTGATACAAATCAAACGTTTAGTTCGATGACACTTAAGCGCTTTCAGACCCTGAAAATAGTCAAAATGTTTTGTTCATATATTTCTCACCTGACATAAATGATAATCTAAGTTGCTTTACAGGTCCTTTTATAGCAGAAAACGCGAACAAGATACTAAATAACGGGCCTGAAGGAACTCGTCGCAACGTTGTTGTCACGAAGAGCGTCAAACGCCTGACACATTTCTACTCGTACCCAGAGCCTGCGCGCCACAGTGTATAACTTTGAAATCTCGGTTGTTTGGTGTAAATAAAAATAAAAAAAACAACTGATTCACGTTCACGCATTCGCACTTTGTATTTTTTAAGGTTTACTTTTTAAGTTATCAGCCTAGTTTGCCTCTTTTTCAAATATGAAAAAATGTCCCCAAAAATTAATAGTTTTTTTGAGAGAACAAAACAAACAGGTGCCAAATCTGCAAGAGCCTGGTGAAGAATTTGTTCATAGTGGACTTTGTATTTGGATAAATCTGAAAGCCAGGGCGGATAAAGGTTGGGCGGTGAAACGAGCGCGTCCGAGCAAAAAGGTGTGATGCAGTGGACTGGGACTCTGCTTAGAAATGTCGCTTGTTTTCGACTTTGGCCGGGGCTTGCGATGTGGGTTGTACATTAGACATGTACACTGCCGCTGTCACTGAATTATGGCGGCTTGACTTGTTTTCTTGCACTTCTTCCTCGTTCCTTTGTGCTGGTACGCTGTCTCCGAGAGGCAAATGTTGCTATTTTTTGATTGTGGGAGGTTTAGCTGGAGTAGACAAACATCTCTTTCAAAGGGTTTCTTTGATTACTTCCATGACTCTACCACTGAATTATATTTTCGTTCTGCTACTCGCCAATGTCGATGTTATTCCAAAACAAAAACAACTAAGTACTGTCTAAAACACGAAGGAAAATCTCATCCATGTCATCCATGGCAAAACTAAAAGACAGCAGATCGTGTTTCATAACTAGATGACGTGTATTTTATAAATGCGTGCAGCTCGTGCAAGGTGAAATTATGCTAATTTCAATCATCATCATCCTTCTTTTTTATTTGGAAAAAAAACAGCGAACTCGTCTTTCTGTTTCCTCGAAACTTCAAAATTAGTTTCCCCTCAGTTTTTACTGTTTACCTTGTTTTGTTTTAGAGAGAAAAACGGAGAAAAAACCTTACAACTAACCTCAATAAATTTTGTTTACATGCGGTTACCGGATTTGTAACGCATTGCGCGAATCGCCATGGCGCGTTGCACCCGAGAAGCAAAGTTTGAAGAAGTACAACGCCACTATATCAATATATATCAATCTAATTTTTTGTTATGTTATATAAAATTTATCCCCCTTTAGCATACGTAAAAATTGAGGTTAAGAAGTGTTAAGCTTTTGCAAACGAAACAGCGAAAGACGATTAGGTGATATTTAGTGGAAGGAGGAGGAATTCAACACTTTCAAACTAAACTCAAATTTTGGCATTATACGACCGACAAGCTTGACTTATAGACGTACAGACACAAACATATGAAATTGTTTATTGATACTGTTATGAAACGAATTTATCTATTTAACATTGTAGCCTGAAATTACAGAAAGAAAATAGGATTTCCGGTTTGCTTAAAGGAAAATTCCGCCGGCCTTCAAGCGCACCGGAAGCGCAGAAAGAGCGCTCGTGCCAGTCCTACTCCGCATCACATATTAAATGAAGAGCGGAGCGCTCGTTTCACCGCCCAACCTTTATCCGCCCTGCTGAAAGCCATCTTAATCCGGTTTTAAAATAATTCGTTGGATGAACATGTTAAAATTTCATTTCGTGAATGGGAGCTATTTCAAGTGCTTTTGTCTTGGCTGCATTCTCTTCAGCATGACTGTTGCCTCTCCGATTTAAACGAAAGCGAAACGACCTTTGTAACTATGGCGGACTAAGAAAGCTGTTTATAACGCGAATTTGAACTTCCCTTCCAGTGCACAGTAGAACTAGAGATCTTGAAGGTAGGATGTGCAAATGAAGTCATCCATTCTTTAAGTTAGAAAATAATTGTAACGATTAACAAATGTAGACTTTCGTTCTTTGAAAGATTTCGTTGATTTACAACAGTTATGCACTTATCAATTGAAACCCCGACCCCCCCCCACCCCGGGCCAAGGTGGGGATTTGACTTGACATCATTACAAATCTTAGCAAACTCCCACCCTACTGGGGCATATTGACTGGTAAAACCCCCACCCAGGTGGGGAAACCTTTTTAATTCCCTGACTGACTTTATTAATATTTCGTTCGAATTTTCAACTTCTTAATATTGACAAATTTACTACAGCAAAAAGGCAAATATGATAACAGACCAAGATATAAATACAACAAATATTTGACAATAAGTAAACATAATGACCCCTACCCACTTATAAAAAAGTCAGGGTACAAAATGGATGATGGAGTAGCACATTGCTATAAAGTTATATTAAAAGGAAATCCATTACCATCTCCATTGAAAGTAATATCTGCAATGATAATTTTAATTGAAAATAGCAGCCAACATACCTTAACCTTCACAAGCTGATGTTATAAATAGACTGCATAAAATAGTTCCTAATAGGAGCTATATTTTTTATTTTGGCTTAAAGAATGAGGAAATATAGAACTTCAGAAACCACATGGGTTTAACACTAGACGTTAAACGAGCTGTGTCATGAAATTTACCAAAATGTAGGCTGTGGGAACTGCCACCAAATTGAGTGAAACATAAAAATAGCCGCTTAAGACATTAAAAGATGGTATAAATGACTCAGCAAATACAAAAGAAGGTACAGATGGGAAAACATGAAGAAGATTAAAAGCGGATTGAAATTTTGGTTTTTGAAAACTTGTTAACCTAACAGTTTTTCAAAGTTCATTGTTTTTGTCCGTAACGCTTGATATGCTTGGGAGAAACATCTGTTTAAAACGAAGCTTTGATTTCTTCATTTCTTTGCCAACGTAACGCTCAAAAGCGAATAGGGACCACGAACTGGCAATATTAACAAAATGAACCAGATAGCCGTGACACAGCACCTTTTATAATAAGTAGAGGAGTTTGTATCTGCATTGTTTGAGAAGTTTTGAATAACAATAACAATTTCCAGTCAACGAACCATGAAAGCTCAAGGCAAAATCGCAAAGGATTAGTCTCAGTGAAGAAATGAAAGGAAAAACAATTAGGAAACTTACGGCCGAGCAATACATCAAAATACCAGTGATCACGTGAAGAAATTACCGTGAGGAAACTAGGCACGAGTCAAATCCCCACCTCGCTCCTCGACTTCCATGGACTTCCATGAATATGCTAAGCAAATCCTGAGAAATCCCCCACCCCCACGGGCTAACCATGCCTTCAAATACCATAAAAATCCCCCACATTGCCCCACATAAGCCCGGGGTGGGGGGGGTCGGGGTTTCAATTGATAAGTGCATTACAAAATCTCGATCTTCAGTGGACGAGACTGACACGCATGCTGCCGGCTGCCTTATGTCTCGTAAAGGAATGGATATTCATATTTAGCGCAAAGAAAGAAAAAGGTCACTGATTTTTATAAGCTAAGAAATTATGTAAACACTCGTTCAGGTGTCGTTCGCATTTTTGTTTTTTGCTCCTTTCGTTTTTAGTTCCACGCGATAGAATTCTTAGTTTAATATAAGCTGAAGCTTTAGAAATTAAAGCAAAAACATTTAGACGTGTTTGCGTGTATTTTCCATTAAAAATAAATTAAATTTAAGCCTTTTATTTTTTGCCCGGAAATCCAGGCGGGAGGGGGGGTCTTCCACCTTGGAAATCCAGTTGGGAGGGGGGGTCTTGTGCTTCAGGAAATCCAGGTGAGAGGGGGGGTTAAAAAAGGACCCCATCCGTCGGGGGGATGTGGATTTTTTCTGGAATAACCCATTAAAAAAAAAAAAACTTTGATTTCTTTGGCATATCCCAGGCTAAGCCGCTTGAAATTCCTAACCCCCAACCCCCACTTTTCTCTGTTATTAAACTTTGTGGCTTATGAAAGCTTATGAAATCCACAAAACATTAATCCAACTACTGCATTTACTCGTGATCATGATCAAACCCTTTGTTTTAGGTGCAGTCAGTGTGAAATGTCATTTGTGACCAAACACAACTGCAAAAGGCACGAACAACGTGCTCACAACAGGCCTTTCAAGGTGATTTAGAGAATTCTATTTTCTTTAATCTAGTGTTATTTTAAAGGCAGCTATTAGGCAACATCCAAATATTAGAGTTTGTATATGGCATGTTGTTTGAAAGATTGATTTAAAATAATGAGGGAGACCTTGGGTGCTTCTAAAAATAGTCAGTTAAAAGGCAGAAGAACAAAGGAAAGGTTAATGAAATCCTCATTCACATCTATCCTCCTTTTCACAGCAGCTTTGAAAAAGTACTTCTCCTCTACTCTGCACCATTACGTTTTGCTTATAGTGCCCTCTTCCTGCCTGTTTTCCCCTTTTTGGCCTCAAATAGCCACATTAAAAGCTGCAATCAAAATGTGACATTATGTTTGTACTTAATTCAAACATTTTGAAACTTTTTCACCATGCACTGTTATCTCAGACTAGTAATGAGTACTCAATACATGCACTTGACAGTGTTGCTTGTTGTTAATCTGTACTTTTGTGCTAATTGTTTGTATTATGTTGTGATTTTTTATATACACTTTTCTTTTGGATTGATCTTAACAGTGCCCTTATGAAGGCTGTGAGCTGGAGTTCATGAGATGTAATCAGCTGAAGATCCATCAGTTTGCTCACACTAGTGAAAAACCTTTCAAGTTAGTAAACCTATGCAGTGCCAATAATTTTTTTTATATCTTGTGCATAGTACTTAAGGCGAAATGGGCAAAACAAATTTCTAAGTGATTAACCAATAAATTAAACTCAATTTTGCAATGTATGCAGGGCTGGCAAAAGGCAAAAATCAGAGGATTAAGACTGCTTGCAATTCAAGATCCGATCATTTTTTTCTGAGGCCCAAAATTTCCTACATACCATTTTCCCACACCCATCAATGTGAATGAGAAAATAATGAACGACACATTACTTACTGTGGACCAACTTTCCATGAAAAATATGATTTATCGTACATTACAGTGTTTTAAGCAAAAATTCTTTAGAAAAATGCCCTGGAGAGAAAGACTCTTCATCTAAACAAGCATACAAATGTATACTGCTACGAATGTAGTGGTTCAAATTCAGTAGAAACCAAACAGCCCTCTGATTTTGTGTTCTATATTTTAGTCATAACTTTGCACTTGTACCAAATTGTGGTCCCAATAAAACATTTTAAGTCCCCTTTCCAGGTTGTTAAGGGTCAAATAATTTATTGGTAGTTTTAGACTAGTGAGGTTAAAATAATGTAAATGTTACTTACAAATAATATTTTATGGTAGGTGTAAAGAGAGAGGTTGTCTAGCCATGTTTGATTCACCTGGAAAACTAAAGCGTCACCAAAAGAGGCATGATGAAGGTAAACCGTGATCAACAGCAGTCTTAATAACAGAAGCATGCATATAATAATACCAACTCCCAAATCATCCTGGAGCTTCTTTCCTGGTTTATCCTTAAAGAGTTCAAAAAATCTACCAGATAAAAAAGTCTTTTGAGCTTTTCTTTGCCATATAGTCTAGAAATTCCATAAAATATATTATTTTTTGTAATAATAATAATAATAATAATAATAATAATAATAATAATAATAATAATATTTATTTATTTATTTTAAATTTTATAGTGGGGTTTCTGGCTTTGATCAGGTTTTTAGTTTACAGCGATTACCACTAATATGGGCCCTCGAAGGGTTTTTCTCTCTGTTGAAATCTTTTTGTGGATGTCAATAAACTGTTTCCATAGTTTTCTCACGTGCTCTGACAGAGATTGTGCAAAACAAAGAGCTCTCTGAAAGCTGAGTGAAATAGACGAAACACTCTCCATAGTTTGCGTAAAGGTTTTCAGGTTGTTTATTTATTTGATTGTGTGAAAACACGGGAGCCGTGGACGAATTGCCAAGGAGTAGAAATTCAAAAAAATGAAAGATATCACACTGACAAGGGAAAAAAGTTTCCTCTAAATGGAGGCTGTTTTCGAAAATGAATTTTGTAACCTGCAGATCTACTTATCATTCTTCATGTTGTTGAATAGAATTCAGAACTAGTAAGAACTCAGAGGAGTTGTGAGTGTGTATTGAGAAAGCTTATGTGGTTGTAACTTACAGTGTTTAAATAAGTTGATAATTTGAGTCCCCCCCTACAAACACTCAACAAATTTGTACTCCTCGTAATCTTGACATGAAGCGGTGTCAGATCTTGTAGCAAAATATTGCAAAAATGGTTTAAATGCCAACATGTTCCTCCGAGTGCTCTGGAAAGGGGGAAAGAATCTTCTCTTGGCCAATGTGTGAAAACCATGGTAACGGTTGATTGACAAAAAAACCCTGAGTAACTTTTTTTTTGTAATTTTTCTCATCTAAGGGGCAGCACCCTTCTTTCCAAGATGTCGCAATGATGCTTTTGCTTATGAATGGTTGCGGAAGCATGTGTCATCCCACAAGTGTGGCATATTTTGTGAAGGATAACAACAACGACGACAAAAAGATCATCTGATGTCATCCGTGTATCTGTTTTTTGTCTTTGTTGGAGACGAAGTTGTGTTAGGTTTGTTAAAATGACCATTTCTAGGTTGAAAAGCACAGAAGCTCAGCCCAACTTCAAGGTTTTGTCCTTAAGCAATACTACTAATGATCTAGTCTTATTTGCTAGTTATTCATATCAGTTCATCTTTCTTTCACAACAACTGAGCGATTTCTTGCTCACTGATTGGTTGATGAGCTATGGTCTTTGATCTTGTAGACCATGGAAATGAGGTTATGATGGCACACTTTGCTTTTCTCATAGCGCAAAAGTTCTGAGGAACTTTGCCAGAAATGGGCTGAACAATGTCAATGAAAAAATAGCCCAAGAATCAAAAAACAAATAATATTTTTTAAAGAAACATAGCATTGAAACGTCTAGCTTGCAGCTCGTGGTTCCACTTGAGTTTGTGCATTTTGACATCATTTCTACCAGACTGCATATGCTTAAAATCAACTTAAGTTCTCATGGTTGAAATTTGTTTTAAAGTGGTCGATTTTTTGTCTTATTTTCGGCCATTTGTACACATAAGGCACGACATTTGTAATATATTGTTGAGTTACGACTTCCAAATTTTATGCTGTTCTTACATTATAATGATTTATGCAGAGTCGGTTTTAAGTGAGGGTTATTTATAATCTCTTAATCTCTTTGTTATTATCTAAAATTAAGGAAACCGCTGGTGTTATTTCTTAGCAAATAAGAAGTATCAAACACTGGCCTTACTTGTTCCTGCCCTGCTCTTTGTTCGTCAGCTTTTTTCGGACGTCTAACTGGTCCGCACGGATGTCGCAGGTCTGTCACTAAGATTTTTATTTGCTAGGTAAATACAACACATTGGTGGGGAATTACAGTCTAAACAACTAGAGATTTCTTTTGCTTCTATTTTTGTACTACAGTAGAACCCCGATAACTCGAACTCCCTGCTAACTCGAACTAAGTCCTTAATTTTCCTTGGATTTTACCCCACTTTTCAGTCATTTTAACTCGGTTAACTGGAACTAGGATAACTCGAATTCCTCGTTAACTAGTATTATATTTTTTTTTCCCTTGATCAAAAAGTCACTGAAATTTACCCCGGTAACTCGAACTGCGGTTCTCTTAACTCCACTCGGATGCTATCCCATTAGCTCTTCTTGCTGTATAAGGGTAAAAACACCAGAACTAACACTGTTCATCGCTTGATCAATTTCATTTAATTGGTGAAACGAACAGACCACGTTTTATCATAAAAAATACCTAATCACGTTACCGTTTTGATGAAAATTTGTTTGCACTGCACCATACACTGAAGTGCTGGAAAATTAGTGACTACCAATGTTTAACATGGCAGAGTAAATTTTGCAATCGACCCTGAAAACTCGAACTGTTTTTTGTTTCCTTTCAGAGTTGGGGTTACAAAGGTTCTACTGTATTTGATTTTTATGGAAGTAGCTGGGGGTTCACTTTTGCAGTAGCCAGGGGAAAATCCCTGGCCTTCTGCCCTAAATGACAAGCCTGTGTTTGTACAGTGTTTATCTTTACTGTGAAGAATGATTGGTCAGTCAAGATTGTATTTTGGTTTGTTTTTGCTTTCATTCATGGCACTCACTTTAGAACCACTCTATCGTGATTGTAATTTGAATATATTGTATATAAATAAAGGCATATGATTTAAATTATCAAAAATGTAAGTAAAAGTCAAATTTTTACAGCTCCAAGCCAGCTGCAAAACGTTTATTTTTACGGTCAACAGTGTGGGCATCCTTTGTAAAGAAAAATAAGTTTATTAATATTTGCTTTATTTCTGGTCGTATTTACTTGTAACATTGTTTTGGTCATATTTTCTTTTATTTTCTTTTAACATTTTCTGTAATTATGAAATTAAGAAAAACACAAGGAGTGTTTTGCATATCGCTAGGAATTAATTCTCTAATATTGCCAACTATTGATTGAACATTGCACAGTAACGGGCTTGTACAGTATGATTTAAACGCTCAAGTTCCTGCACTTGAAATTAGTAATTTTCAGTAGCTTTCCGCTTTTGAATTGTGAGACTTTAGGATTTCATCCACAGTTCCAAAAGGTCGAACCAATTTTTACAGCATAACATACAGTACGAGAATCGCAATAAGCTTCATTCTCTTAGTTTCACTGTGGAACTTTCTCCACACTACAGTTGGTACACTGAACATAATCATACACTGAGTAACTCAAGCCCATGACATCCAGAGTGGCCGCAGGAAAGGTTAACATAACACGTTTTAGTGTTTTTAAATACAGTTTGTTTAATTTGGAATTGCTTCCTGTGGAAGTCAGAATTATCAGTAATTTGTCACTAATGTTTGTGTATCGCGTTCTCTGTTTTAAGAGTTCTGCGTTTGTTGTTTTAGTTCAGGACCCGGTAGTTTAAACGTTGAATAGCGTTGTCCATCGCATAAATCGCTATCCGGAGGATAAGTATTAGGGAAACCAATTGGGTTATCCATTGTATAGAGATTTATCCGGTGGATAGAGTTATCCACTATGGTAGTGAACAACTAGGGTTAGAAGGACAACGTGCTTTGTAAACTGATGTTGACATTTTTTCACTCTCACTGAGTTTTGTTCTCAAATTCATTAAAAAATATGTGAAACAGTTTTTAAAAGTGGTCATTCTTTTTTCTTTTATGGTGATTAAGGTACATGTTCATGTAAACCATATTATATGGTTTTAGTATTGATATAATAAAAATTATTGACATTAAAATTAATGGAGCGCTGTAAAGTTATATGGTACGAATAGGTTATAAATATGAAAGGGTGTTCTTCAAATAGTATCAACAGAAATTTGATTCACTAACCAAAAAACGTTGATTCACGTCGATAGCTCCCGAGTTTCGCTATGTAATTCTGGCGCAGCTGGAATTGACATCGTGTTGTCTGTCGCGCTTTAAATTTTTGAACTTCTTGCCACCGAAACTGCCGGCTTTCCGTATTTGTTCATTTGCCATAACGTTAGTTATAGACGGAAAACCTTTTCCTTGCCATAAAACCTCGGAGAACGTTAAAGATACGTCGAAGATAACGAAACTTCTGATCGAGTCTTGAATCCGGTCCTTGGCTCTCTTGTCGTCCTTGTTTTCCTAGTTCGCTGGTTATACTTAAGATCTAGCCTGTATAACAGGGGTTATGTTTTCGAGTTTTTCAGGCGAGCGAGGAGCGCCAGACACGCGATGGCTGAAAAACCAGAAAAAATATCGCTGTTATGCAGGCTACCTAAGAGCACCGAAAAGAAATAAAAAATAAAATAAATAAAACGTTGACTTTATTTGAGTGTCAATGTAATGAGCATGAAATTACTAAAATATTGGAGGTGGTACCACCAATTTAGGTGGTTATCCGAGCCGCGCTAAGGTCTGGCCATTGTAAGGCAAAGGCGTTACCTTCTCACTAAGAGTATCGGTTCGGTCCCGGCCGGTCCAAACAATCGAACCCCGCAACCTTCCGCTCTGCAGTCGAGTTCTTCATCGACTGAGCTTTAGGTAGTCCTTCCGCTGATTTAAAAACAGAACGAGAACGTCATTTGACGACGGGAAAGTGCGCAAAAAGGACTAAACTCGACTTCCGGTGCCCAATTTGCCGCTCAGCCATTGGTCAAGCCAAGACATCTTTAAGCGCCGCACGTCAACCGGAAGTGAGGCCTTCTCCCTTTTAGTTATATGCCTTGACGCCAACAAATTTGTATTGCTAAGTTTCTTTTCTTTTATAAAGACGATTTACCCAAGAGTTTCAACCAAGCTACTGCCCAACGATGCAAAAAGTCCACTTCCGATTGACGTCCGTCTCTCATAAACGCTGTTGCTTAAGCTCCCTAATCACTATTACGTCCCCTTCAGTAGCCGGAGTTTCGATTGCCAAGCGAATGAGAAAATAGAGCCCGATATCAGATTAGTTCTCTATCTAACTTCTGGTTCTCTTCTTCGCTTTTTAGCTTTTATTGTTTTTTGTTTGTCATGGGTCTTCGCTTTCCTAGTTTCTGTCGTTCTCGTAATTTTCTTCTACTCCTCCGTGGATCTAGCCGAATATTTAACAATTATTCCTCGAGTCCGAATGTGCTCTGAGTCAATAGCCCATGAAGCCGAAGGCCGAATGAGCTATTGACTCAGAGGCCATGAGGGCGAGAGGAATAATTCTTTTAGTAAAATACAACTAGTTGGTCAAAAGTATTGAGAATAAAAAAAAATTAGCTAGTTAAAGCTAGACTTTAATCCTTTTTTGCCGCCAAAAAGCCCGCGCTTTTCGCTGCTAATGGGCTATAACATATAGCCTAGTAGTAGCTCAACCAATCAGAACGCAGCATTGATAATAGACCACTAGTTGGATTTTACTAAAATTACATACTAGGTTAACGGAATAAAACGTATCCCATTACTCTGATTGATTTATAAATGGAGAAGGTCCGTCCTTTTTATAGTCAGTTCATGACCGTTCGGCAGCAGCGTAATTCCCTCGTCTCAACCAACTTTTTTGGCGTTGCTGGCGTCCCTATAAAAAGAGAATCCGTTAAAAGCCTTCAGAACAGTGTCAGAACCCATTCAATGGTTTACGTGCGTGGAGTGGAATAGACTGGGAAAACGGAAACTTTCGAGTTGGAATCTCCATACAGTTCTAGTTTGGCTTACGCTGGTCCTTTTTTTTTGTCAGGCTATTTAGAAGAATGTTTAATGTTTGCTTTTGCTTAGGTACTTAAATTTTCAGTACATTAGATTCTCGCAGGAGCCCATAACCCGGAGCTGAATTCTTGCGATGAAATAAAAAAGATTCAAGTTTATTCACAGATACGCAATTATGGCCAAAATATTAATTTAAAACTTAGTTACCTACAGAGCTAATAAACGGTATCGTTATCAGATACTTTGGCCGATTTTTTCATAGGTCTATAAACAGAGTAAACAGTGTTTCACGTCGTAATTATGTACCATTCAGTAGATCTGAAGCACTATCAGACTCAGACTCAGTCACTAAAATTGTCATTTACAGATTTTGACTCTGGTCACAAGGAACTGTTCGTTTTCTATCACTGAAATCTATTGAAAGGCTCACGATTCTGATACAGGCTTTGTCGAGTCTTAGTCGGTAGCCTGCGTAGCAAGCGTTTCCGTTTGGTTTCGGAGCAAAAAAAGACTGTGGAAGATTTTAGGTTTTGACCGCGCGAACAAAAGAAATGAGAACCAAAAAATGAAAGAGGGAGGAGGGGGGAGGGGAAGAAAGCATTCCTTCTTCTTTCTTCCCCACCCCCTCCCCGCTCTTTTGCTTGCGCCATTTTTTGCGCGGTCTTTGACTGTTGTTCCTCGTTCTTTGCTCCTAAACCGCACAGAAAGGCTTGCTACGCATGCTACTTAGTGGGGAGCCCCGGGGGGCCGGGTGGCGAGGTACTCCCGATAATGGAAAGCTTTTTTTCCAACAATGGCCAAATTATGCACATGAATATAATCAGTCTGATTCTGGTTTGGCATTTTTGTTGGGCAAGCAACACACGTTGGTTAGAAAATATACTTAAAAAGAAGGACTGAGAGCCGTATTCAGCGACAAACATACGAAGCTTTACCACGGAAAATCTTCCCACAATGAAAACAAGCTAACAAACAAAAACAACAAAATAACAAGATATACGTATCTTGATGTATAAAGTGAAAAACTGACTTTGTCCCCAATTGGTTCGCGATTTCTACACAACCCAGCAACAACCTCCTTATAACCTGCGACGGTCAGACTTTGTTCTACCTCGCTTCGTTACGGTAACTTAAGGAAAGCGCTCGAGCTGAAACTCTCATGTAAATTCTGGGGCCAGTCTATCATTAGCGCGACGTAAACGTGATTGTAGGCTCTCAAAAAATGAACACCACAACTGCCGTCATTGCAATTTTTAATCATTTTACATCTATATCTACATCTTATTTCATTGCAATAGTTTTTAATTATATACAGCTTTCTTGTAGACAGTTTTCAACTTACATTTTATTTCTTACTTCATCAATTTTATTTTGTGTTCCCTACTGATTACATTAGTAGAAGGATTCTTTTCTCTGTCTAGACTGTATTTCTTTCTCACACAATTTAATTTAAGTTGTTATTCACGTGGCTATTTTTCCTGAACGAGTTATTGCTGAAGAGGTTTTCATTTAAAAATTACACCATAAATAGCTTCATGCATATGATGTAGTACTGAGGATAGTCACACATGTAGGTTTTCGTTAAAAGATTCAAAACTAAAAAACCGCGCATGTGAGCGTACTACTAGAAAGGTTCGATTTTGATAGTCACATCATCTAATTTTGTCCAGAGACCAATAGTTAATACTACATGCAAAATAGCTAGTTTTATGTGAACACGCTACTGAAGAGGTTTTAATTTAAATGGTCAAACTATTGGATTTCATTGACGGACTAGTCACTCAACTAAGATTTTTCGAACTAAATCAGTAAAACATAAACAAATACAGTCATGTAAACTTGCTACAGATAAGGTTTTATTTGAACAGCCGATCACATCACAGCATTTTACAACAGAAATAAAGTAGGGACTATTTTTAAAATGTCTCTATTATTGAATCTGGAAGTAAAAAGATTAACTTTAGCTCAAGTCTCAGACGATTGTAGTTTTCTTCTTTGAATTTCCGGCCTTTTCTTTAGAGTGTGCAATAGGCGTCAGTTCCAAGGCCACAGCGTGCTCATTACCATGGAATTCTTCTAGTTTTATGTCGCCCTCACTCCCCGACAAACCACCGTAAATCTCTGGTTCCAGCATCTGTTGTCTCTCCTCTGATTCCGGATCGAATTGATCTTCCATGTCATCTGGTAATGGAGGCAAGGGATTGTTTGCAATATTTTCACTTGATCGCCTATAAGAAGAAAACAACGCTGTCAACCATAGTAGATGCTATAAAATTGACCATACATTTTAGATCATGCGTACAATTATAGAAGGCAACGTGAAACATTTTACGACGAGCTGATAATTCTGTGAGACAAGATTGCAATGCTCTATTTTATTATCATTATTTCAAATCTTGATGCCAAACGCAATGGACTCGAAACATGATTTGTACTCAGATTTTCTCACTCTGAGATTTATACGCTATTACGCCTTAAATGCCAAAAATAAAAGGCGTTCACGTTGATTAAGCGTCTTCCCCTAAATATTTGCCTGCCAAACTAAAAAAAGAGTCTCCTTTAATAACAATCACCTCCAGCACACTGTCTTAAATATATTAAGTGATGTTATAAGGGAACCTCCTCTCTTTCTTTCTCTCATTCTCTGAACGCTTGTTTACCTTTGATTTAATGCCGGCATCAACATAGGGGAACAGTTTCTTATTAGCCACTCGGTCAGCTCAATTTTAAATTTCCCGTGCACAACAAGACGTTTATCTGTTTCCACGAGTTAAGCAATGTTATTTCTTACGTAACAATGTAACTGAGTCCCCTTCGTTCTTTGCCATGACCATGCACGTGTCTCATTAACGATATACTGTCTCCTCAGTACTCCTTTGAAAAACCTATTTCTTCCCCGAATAAGCGCTCCCTCAGTGGCCAAGCTAATTTATAAGCAGAACTGGCCCTGCCTATCAGTTATTGAATTAACATAACATAACGTATTTATTGTCGAACTAATATTAGGAAGTTCTTTAGCCTGGGACTTGTTGGCTCCTTTATGGGTACGGAATACCGGATATGGACAACCCAACTCGCTTGTGGCTGAACTTTTCAAGAATAAAAGCCAAATGCTTACTATCGAAAGAGTACTAACCTGTTATAAACATCTGCTCTCGTCACAGGAACAGTGGGGTCTGAATCATGTGGCTCAAGGTAGTAATCTTTTCTGCCACGGTTGTTGTCTTCTGTTAAGTGAAGGTACTCGGTCGCGACACTCTGTTGTGAAAAATAAGCCCAATATCGAAGTTTAGAATAAACATACCAGCCAGGGGCCCATAATCCGGAGCGAGCAGCTCCCATACTAGGCCTATGTGACGGTGTTTTTACGGATCAGTTTATTTTTAGACACATTTTAAGGGGCACTTCTTCCCGCGAAAATAAAATCTCCACTATATCTATGAGCGCATTCGAAGTATAAGATTTCAAAACGGAAAACGAAACGTTATTAAAAGGCAGAAAATACCATTTTTTTAGGTCTGTAGGTTTTGCTGACCAGTTTGTGAAATTTAAAAGATATTCAAAATTCGCGCCAAAACCGTTCTAAAAATAAACTGGTCCGTGAAAACGTCGTGACACAAGCGCAGGGAAGTTGCTCACTCCGGATTATGGGCTCCTAACCAGCAAAAGATGCGCATCCCTCACGATCTTTCTTTCAATTGGCAGTCAAAATTCTCTGATCTTATAGAATCGTAAATTTTTATAATCTGTATAGCTTTAGCGTCTGCATTGCGTCAGTCTCAAAAAAAAAAAAAAAAAGGATGCAGATCGTGTTATATCATTCCATGGCCGATCTCCGGAGGGGGCCAAGGGGCCCCGGGGGTCCGGGGCTCCACCTTCTTTTTAGGTCAAACTGCAGTCTACTGGACTAAATGAGCGGGTCCCCCACTTAGTTAGAGATTTGAATCCGCCACTGTCATTGCAAATATGGTAAATTTTTAAAGAGCACACAGTAGAAGTCATCTCTTCATATTCTTCTTGCAAAGCTTAATTCCAGCTCGCCCCATCAGAACAAAGGATATATACACTCAAGAGAGTATCCCCTCTTGATAAACTTCATTTTTTCCTTTGAAGGACCTAGTGTACAATAAGTTCTGACAAGAGAGAGGATACGTTCTCTTAGTTCCTCCTTTGCCTCAGAAACAGTAGAAAAAAGACCTCACCTGGGAAGCGCGTTGCTCAAGAATTGTACCAATCGACTGGCTGATTTGATGAAATTTAGGTCGGTTGTCAGGTCCTTCCTGCCAGCAATCTTGCATAATTTTGTAGATCTCCGAAGGGCAGTCTCGGGGATTTTCCATACGGTTTCCATCATTGAGAAAGTCTAGGAGCTCTTCTACGGGTATAATGGGATACGGTGTGCCGCCCAGTGTAAAGATCTCCCACAAGCAAATTCCAAACGACCATCTGCATTATTAAATGTCAAGGTTCAAAACATACACACTCGAAGGGTCATCACGGCCAGGGTCATTCCAAACCAAAAGGGTGTCAATAAAGCTCTGTAAGCTGTTTAAGCGAAACTATGGACTCGGGGAAAAAGATGGTAAGCTGCTATTAA